TCCATGAAACCTTCAACCTAAATAAAAACAATACTTTAAAAAAGAATTGGCCCAATTCTCATTACTATGATGTTCTTGCATAGATTTTAGGAAAGAATACCTGACTTATATTTACTATCGTGTTGATAAAACTGTCATAAAAAAAACAGAGTGTGCAACAACAGTGATGCCTCCACAATGACATGAAAATGTGTGTGGATTGATTGATCGTTCCAATTTGATTTGTGTGCCACCCATCTTGTCTAACGGCGTATCATTATCCACTACCTCAAATGGTTGCCAAGTCCATCTACTATCGTGGTAGTTTGTAATCTGCATGAAAAACATTGTTTGCAATATCATACAGATATAAAAAAGTAAGTTGAGCTGTTTAATTTGACTCTTACAATTACATTTCTGTAATTGACTCTGAGTTTTCTGAGTAACTTTATGGAAGTGATCTATCATAAGTAGTAGTGTTTTAACTTCCCAGTCTAAGCTATAACTTTGGAATTCTTAGTGGTCTCCTATTCAAGTGGTAATTGGACTTTTTGCTGTTTAATTTTCAAGGTAAGACAATTGATTTTAAACTGTTGTGGAAATCATAGTAGTGGCAGTAGAAGTTCAGTAAAACAAAGATTCTGTAGATAAGTTACTGGCATATAGAATGTTATCTGTCTTTGTTCCACTGAATCTTTCTTGGTAGAGGGGCGAAGGCTGGCTGGTTCAAGGAGAAATGTTCCTTTTAGTCCTTGAGCATTTAGAATCTGATAGCCCCAAATGTAGTGCTTTAAAACTGTAGAATACTTCTTTGTTAAAATTTAATTTTCACTCATGATTTCTTCAACTGGCAGCTTTCTGTTAAAAATTACAAAGTTCTAGATCAGGGGTGTCCAACTTGATTTGCTGCATCAGGGCTGTGTTTGACTTGGGGGGCCAGGGTAGGTCTGGCTGGGGTAGCTGTGGCCAGCTAGACATCACTTGTGTTGGGGGGGAACTGGGGGTGGACCAGGTGTTCTGCCAGTGAAAACAGGCTCTCAAGCTCTGTTTTTGGCTATAACAGCCTCCTGCAATCCTCTACCAACAAAAACAACAACCCTGAAATACTGTTTCCTAAGAAGAGTTAATCCTGTTCAAGCACATACATTTCACACTTTTCACTAAAATTGAAAATGCCCAATCCTGGTTCAATAAATTGGTTCATACAACTAAGGCCATAAATCATAGTTTATAAACCTGTGAGTATTTTTGGAGGCAACTGGACTTTCTTGTTTTTCTTTTGAAGACATTTAGCTTCTCATTCAAGAAGCTTCTTCTGCTCTGACAGGATAGTGGGGAATGGAAGGATTTATATTCCTTGCAGACAGCTGTCAGAGCTGAAGAAGCTTCTTGGATGAGAAGCTAAACGCCTTCAAAAGAAATAACAAAGTCCAGTTGCCTCCAGATAAAGTACCTTTGGGACAACCATGACCTGAATGACTGAGAATCTCTACAGACTTTTAACCTGTGGGTGAATTCACATAAAATACTAAATTGGTATTATTTATGGTTTATTGTGGTGTGTGAATGCACACACATTCACTTAAATCTTTTAGTGGTAGCAATTCTAAGTACTCTTTCACTCTCCTATAAGCATTGTTTGTAATGTTTCTCAGCTTGATCTGACAATGGAAGAATGATTTTAGGATGTATGGTACACGTCAAATGTATCTGAAGCTATACCGGGAATGAATTCTTCCAGAGATTTAAGATCAATTTTACAATAATTAACAGAAAGTATTTACATTTTTTATTAAAATAAATTAAATACTTTTTTTAAAAAAATGGATAAAACGTTTTTTTGATAAATTAACATTTAACATTTCATTTCAACTGCATGTTACTTTGTTTGCTTTCTGAATTCATAGATTATCAGTGTTGATTGAGGCCACAAATATAGATTAATATTGAATTCAAAAACATAAATGCTACACTGTGTAAGTTGATTTCAACATGGTTTATAATATTTACATATTTAATTATACAGTATATCACATTTAGTAAGCACATGCATCAGCACATAAAACAAGTATTTAAGGGTGTTTTAAAATATCTAGCCAGTAATTAGCCCTACATATGAAAAGAAATAACCAAAAATCATTTTTTCTAACTTCCTGCTGATTGTATCTAAAACATTTATGTCAGCGTCTCATTCTTAAACTTATCAACAGGATAGGTTTCCTGGAAAAAAAAGAAATGCCTAGATATTAGTGATTATTTTAAAAATAAATATAGTAAACAATTGATTATTTGATGACAAATTCTATTGTGGCTTTGACCAGATTCTTAATTCACTATTCATCTATAAATCCTTGCTATAAATCTTTAGCTAAAGTCTATAAAATGACTAGCAGTAAGCGTCTCCAGGTCTGCTGTATTCTTATCTTTTAGCCTTGGGATTAGCAGTACACAAAATAGCAGCAAAAGGTATTTATTTCAGCCTCTTGAAGACTTAACTGTGTTGACTTCAAGACTTAAAAAAATCCCTCTTTACATAATGAAGTAAACTTCCTTGTCAAAAACTTAGATTAATTGTTGCAAAATAATAGAAAGTATACATAATCTTCAAAAGAATATCATGGGTATAGGTGATCAAGAATTCTTAAATATGTTGTATTCTTAAACCTTCAGATCCTGGTAATTCTTTTATTCTTCTTGGTGAATTTTAGTCTTAGCAACTAAAATAAAAATTTATACTATACTCCATCAAATTGGCCAATGTAATAAATTGTGTCATAAGTCCTATTTTGGCCTTTCCAGTTAGTTTTATAATACACCTACACTTTTTTTTTCTGGATCACATAATAAGAAGGATTACAGAGCAGAAACTGTTCCATGTGAAGTGCCCTGAAAGACTTCTTGAAAAAAACCTGAAGGTCAGAGTTAAACTGATGGTACACTACTCAACTTGTTAAGTGTTATTGAAATTAAAAAGAGGCAACAAAATAGAAGGGGAAAAACGTTGAAGGAATCAATAGAAATACCAATTGAATTGAAAAGCCAAAAAATAATGTATAAAGTAGAAAGGGGTGGGGGGAAGACCTCAAGAAAACAAAGGCATCTAAACGAAATCTGAGACAAGCATAGAAGAGTCTAAGAAAAGACAAATATGCAGCTGACATGGTGAAAGGAATATCGTGGCAGCCTTAATTTGTTACTCAAGCCACAGCAGCGGGGGGAAAACATTGCCTTGTGATGATTTTTCATCAGGACCTTTGAAGAGAAGTGTTGTTGGCTTTTAGAAGATCTAGGAGGTTAGGTCAGGATAGCAGAGGTCTCTGCTTATGCTCAGTGTAAAGATAGCTAGCAGGATAACCAAGAATGAAATGGTAGCACCACAGTCTCTTGAGGTTTCTGGTGGAACTGAGCTAGGCTTGGAAAACTGAAGAACAGGATTTGATCATCTGGGTCTTTTCTGGGGTGAGAGAACAAAGCGGGAAGGAAAGTCGGGGAGACGGCTGCAATAATTATTTGTGTCAAAGGGCAGTGACCAGATGCTCTGTTGAATGGTACCAGGTTTAAGAGCTTTTGTGTGAACCTGGGCTAGTTTGGGGGGAATAAATTGGAAGTATATTATTTATTTAGAACCAATTCAATTCTGATTTAGACTTTAAAAACTTTTCTACAATTAAAAATAGTTTGATTTACCTCAGGATGCTTCTTAACTGTTTATTCAAGTTAATTTAAGTTAATTTGCATGATTTTATCCTTATGCTGAATTGGGAGCTATATAGATCTCAAGTTGGATATAATTCCAGAAGGCAGATATTTAGGTTCAGATGACATTGTTTAATTAGTTTTTGGGTTGGACATCCTTAGTATGATATTGTTTGATTTAGTTTCAAACCTGATAGAAAGCTAGGCAATATTCTTTATAGAAAGAACTGCAAATAGCTCAAAATGAACCTCAGGTAGTGTAATGGTATGTGGGAATGACCTTGGGAGACTGGGCAAAGAGACGCTGCCCAGGTAATGGTCAGATAAGAGAGAGCATACCCGACAGCTGCATAGTGTGTGGATCAAGGGGCTCAGGAGGGACTCTCCATAAGTTATCATGCTGTAAAAGCGATGGCTGCAGAGAACTGTATTTTCAGACTTGCAAGATTCTATTAACGTAGCTTTACAGTAAAGTAGAATTAGCATTTCTGGTTGTGTTTCCAGTCTGGTCTACGTCGTAAGACTGGCAGGTAGAAATTGGGTGCTGGCAGGAGAAATTGAGTCCACCAATCAAAAACAAAAATCTGATTGTTTGACAATTTCTTCAGAAATCAAAGAGAATAAAGGATATCTTAAAATTAAATTCAGGCAGGACAGAAGTGCTTATTGTGGTGATTTATAATTCCAGGTGATTACACTTTTGCAAAAGGAGTTGGTGCATAATTTATGGATGCTTTGAACTTGATCATGCTCTAATTTCCTAGATTAAAACTACAGCTCAAAATCTTTATATCATTTAAGGTTTTTATAGGCTTATTCTTACCACTTTCTGGAAGAAAATGACATATGAATCCTTAAAATTTGACTGCAAAAAGGGCCTCCACGAGGGACTGTATTTAGAAACTTTAATCAGTATAGGAAGTCTTGGTTATTATCTTTAAAGTTCTTGTGATCTGGAGTATCCTGCTCACTGAAGTAATCTGATAAGATTTACTTTTTGTTAAAATGAGCTAATTGGGTCTTTATGTAATTAACTTAGGTCTGTCAAATGCACCCCTTTCTTGACTTTTTAAAAAAGGTTCTAAAATGCACCTTTCAAAACAAGGTTTTTGTTGCTGATTTTAATATTGCAGGTCTTAATAGTTTAAAGTCATAAACTATTGATAGATTTGTGGATTGCAAGGGCATGATGATGAATAGATGCAGAAACATGCATCGGGTACAAATATTTTGTTTGTGAGCCTTGATTAAGTAGTCTAAGAGCTCATTTTCATGATACTTTTCAGCCATATATATGGATTTGGATATTGTGTTTATTTTTGTAGGATTAGCTCGGAACGTAGAAAAGAGAAGTCTAGAGATGCAGCCAGGTGTCGGAGAAGTAAAGAATCAGAAGTGTTCTATGAACTTGCTCACCAGTTGCCTCTTCCCCATCACGTGAGCGCACATCTTGATAAAGCCTCTGTTATGAGACTTACAATCAGCTACCTCCGTATGAGAAAGTTGCTTGATGCAGGTAAGCATTCTTGCAGATGGGTGAAAATTTCTCAGTGGCTAGTGAATGAATACTTTGCTATCTGTGATGCTATGATCCGAAACTACCTCCCAGCAGTTTCTTTGTATCTCCCCAATCTCAAAAAGTTATTTCTTAGAATGATAAAGCCCAAAGACCTTATTTTTTTTAATTTCACAACCTATTACTTCCATTATTGCTACTGCTTCAAAGGAAAGAACTTGCTGGTATTTTGAAGACTTGCAGGCACAAGTCTAGAATGTGTAATAAAAATCATAGGCCTTAGAACATTTTTTAATCTTGTATTTATGGCTTCATTGTACATAACCTTATTTATGCATTAAATTTTTGCTTCGTATACATTGCTTATTAGCATTTAATACTTGATTGAAGACTTAATTAAAACTGTTCACCATGACAGGCATGGTTCTAGCATTGATAAATAGTCATGCTTCTTTCAGACTTTGAAGTTCAATATGGGGATGAAGTTTGAAACTGAAAAACTTTGATAGAGGGACAAACTACTGGGTACTTGCAATATATTTTGGCAGAAAAAGTATTCTATCCACCTTTCCAACAGTTTATTCAGGAAAAACCTGGGTTATAACGAAGATTGAATTTTGCTATCTAAAAACAGAGGTTTTTGTGTTAGCTATAAATCCAACAGGCATTTATCCAAAGTTAGAGGAATGTTAGCGCATGTTTCTTGAAAATCATGATGCTACTTTAGACAGCAAAGCCCAAGAGGATAGCAACAGTTAATTTTGTGCTGTCCAGAACAAAACCAGCAAAACTTTTCTAAATTTCCTGAGACAAAAAAGACACAAGATATAGTTTGAAGGCACATGATGTCTAAAATTTGTCGGATTAAATTTGGTCAAATGGAAGGCTCTCTGGGGGTTCCACATACAGATTTTTTTAATCCCTGAAGGAAAAGCAGGAGATGCAAATGTAATATTATAAATCCTGTTTTACAGTTGTGGGTGACTTAGCCTCTTCTATTTCTTGTTATTCTGAAAATACTACTCATACTCAATAGGCCAAACTTTTTAAAATTTGGTATCAAGGACAACATGCTCGCTACTAGGCATGTAATATTTAGTGGACAGTAAAATAAATTGCTTTGAATCTAATTCAGGGTGTTTATATCTTTCTGAAACTCAGTTTTCCAAGTTATTGGTACACTATTTAATTCTATTTAGATGCTGTCCAATCCAAATGATTATAGGAAGTTCATAGACAGTAACATAAAAACCAATACAAATCAGAAGTAATCCCAGAAAAATATGCAGACCAAAAACAAAAATGACAAACCAGCCAACCTGCCAATCTCACCCCAAGGCCTGGAAGAAAACCAGGCCTTCAAGGCTTCATGCACCTATAGTACTTTTCATTTTGTAGAGAGAACATATGCTTGAACAGTCATTGAACAACTATATATTCACCGTTACAAAGTAGTTATTTATTCCAGACAGAACTTCATTAGCAACCCCTGAAAGTTTTTTTGTTGTTGTATTAGTTTTGCCGATTGATTCTTCAGGGTAGAATATTAAAAATTCATTAAAAAGATTCCCAGGGCAACATCCATATGGCCTCAGTTAGCTTGCATGCTTGATCCACAAAGTATAGTTTTAGGTTTTCATCTGGTTTCTATAGCAGTTGATACATTATTTTTTATAATGATGGGTTGCAGGCATTTAATATGTACTGATTCTTCTAGATGACTTAGAGGCAGAAGCTGAAATGGAGACACAGTTGAATTGTTTTTACTTAAAAGCTCTGGATGGGTTTGTCATGGTCCTCTCTGAAGATGGTGACATGATCTATACTTCTGAAAATGTGAACAAGTGTATGGGACTCACTCAGGTATGACATGAACCATTCTTTTGATTGTGCAGAGTATTATTTATTTTTATTCATTTGTTGACTAGATTTCTAACCTTTCCCCTAGGAGTTCAAGACTGTGTGCATTTTCCCACTATAACAACCCTGCGGGAAAATGACTAGCTTGACATTGCCTAGTTAACTTCTGTGGCTGGTAGTGGATTTAATAGTGGGTCACCATGGTAATAGTTCATTAGGCCACTAAACTGCAATGACAGAGAAGTTAAAAAATATTGTTGTTAAACTTGCAGCATTATCTGTGACTATTACAAGAGGTTATAACTTTCAAATTAAAAAATAAAAAGTATGAAAATGAGTAAAAATCAATAAAATGATTCATTGTCATGCTATAAATGCAGATGACAAAATACAAAGAAATATAAATATTAAGTGCTAAAAGTAATTAAATGGATTATAAATTAATTTATGAATAAGAAACTAAAATGTTCACTTTATAAGCAAATGCAAATTTTCATCCTTCTCCTCTTCCCTCAATTAAATAGTTTTATGGCTACAAGCATATTCTTGTCTCTTTTGGTATAAAAGAAATCCAATGGGTTAATAATCATATCACATATAGATTTAATTTGCTTGTTCCAGATTCATGAAGTTTGGAGCACTATACCGTAATATTTGAAGGCTGCTAGGACGGTAGATTTCTTCTGAAGTCAACTTGAATTAGAGACAGTGTGACTGCATCGTGAATTCCTAGTGACTATGAACAGGGTAGTGAACTAGGATTGTAACCAGTGTTTTTTCCTGCTATAAATATACAGTGATAAATTGAGCTTTTCCTCTCCCTTTGGCAGTTTGAGTTGACAGGACACAGCGTGTTTGATTTCACTCATCCCTGTGATCATGAAGAATTGAGAGAAATGCTCATCCATCGAAATGGTAAGAAAGAAAAGATAGTGGAAAATATATGTAGGTTGAGGTTGAAGTTGAATTGTTGGGTAATTGGTGTTCTCTGAGCTTGTTTTCTTGCAGACATTTTATTATCAGATTGGGTAACATCAGTACATCATGGAATGAAATTTGCTGACTGTTTATATATGGTTGCCCTACTGAAGTATTGTTATTTCTTGATCTTGTTTATCTGATGTTAGGCATTTTTTGATCTTGTTTATCTGATGTTAGGCATTTTTTGATCTTGTTTATCTGATGTTAGGCATTTTTTGATGAAAAATGGAGAAAAAAAGGAGAAAAAAGTTCACAAATGTCACCTCCTTAGGCATGATGATTATTTTTATCCTTGTAATGAAACGTCTGAAAGAAAAAAAGCAAGCTCAGAGAACACCAAGAATTCAAATGAGAGAGAAACATTCAGAGTTTTGCTTTGAGGCCAGATGGCTTCTCCTTAAATAGTTGCCTGATTAATGGTTTTAAGCAATCCCATAATTTATGTTAATTAATTATAACAAATCCACTCCCAAATACAATCTGTGAAATTTTAAATTTGTAAAAATTGTAACGTCTATTTGTAAATTGTAAATTGAATTTGAATTGGTATTTAAAAATTAAAAAGCTGGGATTTAACAAATAAAATAAAAAACACTTTGCATTTTCTTGTTGATATCTGAAACTTGTCTTGAATAGTTTGGATTAAGTAGAAATTTTCATCCAGTTCATATACAGGTAGTCCTTAACTTAATATCAGTTCATTTAGTAACTATTCACAGTTACAACAGCACTGAAAAAAGTGAGTTATAACCATTTTATCACCCTTACAACCGTTGCAGCAACCCCATAGTCATGTGATCCAAATTCAGGTGCTTGACAACTGACTCATTTATGACGATGGCAGTGTCCTAGGGTCATTTGATCACTTTCTGCAACCTTCTGACAACGAAGTCAATGGGGAAACCAGACTCATTTAGCAACCAAGTTACTAATTTAACAATTGCAGTGATTCACTTAATAACTGTGGGCAGGAAAAGTTGTAAAATGGAGCCAAATTAACTTAATAAATGTCTCACTTAACAACAGAAATTTTGGGCTAAAGATTTTCTTCATGTGATATAGAGTAGGCCAATGATGGCTAACCTTTTTGTCATCACGTGCCAAAAGTGCATGCGTGCATGCACACGCGTGCATGTGCATGCGTGCCTGCACCCATAATACAATGCATGTGCGACCCTCCAGCGCCCCTGCATATGCGCACATGACCCTCCACGTGACTCCCTGCACATGCACATGCAACCCCCCTGCACTCCCCCTGTACATGCACATGTGACCCCCGTGTTCCCTCGCTCCCCCTGCGCAAGCACACACATCTTCCACAAGCACCCTGCCCTCCACGCAGCAGATACCCGACAATCAGCTGGCAGGTGGGAGGCTCATGCGCAGTGGAAGTGAGCTGGGGCAATGGCTCTGCGTGCCATAGGTTCACCATCTCAGGAGTAGGCTTTTAGTCCCAAATCCTGTTTGCAATACATATAACAACATGCGTGTTCTACAGTAGTCTTAATAAAAAGCATTTCAAAACAAAACAGTAAGTTACTGCTTAATACAGCCATGCAGTTGGAAGCAATAGTCTCATGTGCTAAATTGCTGATTTCCTCCAAACACTAATCTCATCTCTAAACCAAGAACAGTAGGGAAAGCAAGAAAGTCATTAATAAATCTATGCAAATACAGGTACTCCTCCATTTAAGAACATAATTAGGCCTGGGGTCTTGATTGTTGAATGAATCAGTCATTAAGCAAGTCACTATGGAACTGTTTCGCTCAACAACTGCAGTCCTGACTCTCACAGTTGTGGTTATTAAATAGTGCATTGGGAGAGGTCCTCAACCACCTGGGCATGGTGGGATGGGGCATCTCATATCTGGTGAAAGTGTTGGTGAGCACCATTGTTGTAGAAGGTTCACAATGCTGGGGTTCTGGCACTTTCCCCTTAAATGGGGTGGAAATATTGGCATTCATTAGTGTTTTTGTCAGATATGAGTCCGTTTCTCCCATGCATCAGAAGATTTCTGCTCTTTGCAAGAAGGGAAGGGGAGGAGAAATCATTTGGCATGCTAGTTGAATGGACTTAAAATCCAACATCCCTTCTGCTTGCAACCTTCCCTGCCAGCTTCTCCATTGATTTTCTGGGGAAGCCAGCAGAGAAGATTGCAGCTGGTGCTCAAATGATTTCAGGGCACTTTGTAACTGGTTATAAATTCAAACAGGTTGCCAAGCACCCCAAATGGAATAATGCAACATTTTGTGACAGCTTTATGGGCCCTGGGAACTGCCATTGTGACTGCAGATGGTTGTAAGTTGGGGATATCTTTACAATCCCTGTTTTAAAGAGATTCATAGGTGAAACTGAATGCAAATTACACATAGTATTTTGTATTGTGTTAATCTGTTTCTGTATTTCAATTGTTGTCGTCTGTTTTCTTTCATTCCCCCTATGCTCTTTTGTATTAGGATCTGTTAAAAAGGGAAAGGATCAAAATACAGAACGGAGTTTTTTCCTCAGAATGAAATGTACACTGACCAGCAGAGGAAGAACTGTGAATATAAAATCAGCCACATGGAAGGTAATTTATCTTCTGCTCTGAAAGAAGTGTATAAATAAATGCTTCAAGAGCATTTGAAGAACATATATATTATAAGATGCTCCCTTGGCATTTCACATTGTTTGGATGCTCCATATTTTAAAGCTTTTTTTAAAAGTCACATTCTAGGCTACATTCATCTGTTCTGCAATTTAAATGGTATTTTAAAGTGCTGTAAGTTAAAAGAGCAAAATTTCTTATAGAATTTTGTTCAATGTTGGCACTAAATGGGGCAAACTGTTCCCTGATGCTACAAATGTTCTTCCACAGAGAACAATGGTACTTGAAGCAAACCTTTTTCTCGATGTTCATGTCGGGTCACAGAAATATGGGGGATGATAGAGAAATCCAGTCTACAGGGGTAAAAAATCCCAGAATGGCATGGTTGCAATGATTAGCTGATTATACTGTAGAAATTATATTTCCTGCAGTTGTTAAGCATTATTATATCATTTTACTTATGTAATCTGAAGTGGCAAGATTTCCAGTGCTCACCCAGCCTGAGTAAAATAGAATAGTTGATGTTATGTATAAAGATTAAATAGAGTAGCTTTTTCTTCAATATCTTTAAGCAGTTAAGCAAGCATATGAGTGATGAGATGTTTCACTGAAAAGTAGCATTGTGTGAAATATTTTTTAAAAAAAAACACAATAATACATAAAAGTTTTGGGACTGGTTTGTTTTGATGTGTTGTTCAAGAACTTAAATCTAATATTTTAAGCATATTAAAATAATTTGAAGGTTGGACAGAGAGTCACAGTGTCAAATCTGTGAGAAAAATCTATGTGTTTTACATTAAAGGTTTCCTGATGACGCTTGGGGAGTTTCCCAGCGATCTGGAGGGCGACTCTGTTGAGCGCTTTGTTGACCTCTGGAATACGGTGGCAGCCAGGGGACTCCTCGGCAGCATTTACCCCTGAGCAGCCTCTTCCCCCCCTTTCCCCCCCTCCCCCAAATCAACTCCATACAGCTCCTTGATTCATTGAGGAGCTCCAGGAAATGAAGGAAGTGAAGAACCGTCTAGAATGATGCTGGTGAAAAACAAGAAGCGAATGTGACCGGACACGAGTAGGAGCCCAGATTCGAGCCTACTCTGTGGCGATAAGGGCAGTGAAGCGTAATTACTTTCCCTCCCTTATTGCGTCTGCGGAATGTTGGCCAACTACCCTGTTCAGAGTGTCCTGGACCCTTGGGGAAAGAATGGAAAGGAAGATCCCGTTTATGTAAGTTGTGATCATCTGGCCAAGCATTTCGTGGATAAAATCTCTCACATTCACTCTGAATCACAAACTGGATGGACAGAATCCACTGAGGTGATAGAGGTGATGTCTTGTGCGGTACCTGGGAGGTTGTGATTCTGAGGAAGTAAAGTCCTTTGCAGCCTGGGATTTGGATTCTCAGGGATTGAAATGATGGGGTTACAGTTGCAGAGGACTCGGGAGAATATGAATTATCTAGACCTATGACAGTCTGGATCTGGATGGAGAAAAAAAAACAGATGCAACCCAACCTAGGCATGATTCAATATAGACTATTTATTGGTTCTTGATGTAGTCCTGTTTCTCACAAAAAAGCAGGGCCACGATCCGGGGCTCTTCCTGAATTGTTGTTACATGGTACACTTCAGCTGCGGGAGCTGCATTGGTTGCTACTAGGTTTTCGAGTGCAATCCAAGCTGCCTGTCACTGCATATAAAGTAGTATATGGCACAGGGCCTGGACGTCTTAGACACCAGTGTTTCCCAATAATTTCTGCACATTCTACATGGAAAGATAGGAAGCATCTGCTAAGGATCCTTAGCTACTAAGGAGGTATGGCAGGAGGGGGTGGGGTGTTGTCTGTAAGAGCTCCCCTTTAGTTTGCCCCTGCCCTCATGGCTTTCCAAGAAGCAGACAGAAATTTGTCTCTTCCCTTTGAGAGGATTATAACTATTGGCACCATACCAAACAAATATTAGCTCATTAACTTTAAGTTGTGGAAATAGATTTTGTAAGTTTTAATTAATTATAATATTGATTAACCAACTAGAATCTTGTTAGGTTTTAGGTGCTGATAAATCTCATTAACAAATTAATAAACCTGGGATGAAATAGTTCATAGATATTGGTATGATTTATGTATATTACAAACCACAACCTCTCCCCCGCTGCAAAAAAAATGTCTTCCTTTCAATGATAATTGTTCAAATATGTAACTACTCAGAGATCATTTCAGGGGAGAAAACCAGAGCAATATGGATCTTTTTCTGTTGATTTGAGTTCTTTGTGCAATATATAGGCAACCAGACCAAAACTATATAGCTCTGAACTTTATGTTGGCATTTGTTTTGAATAACTAAAATAGTTTTCAGTGAAACTACTTGCTACTGCTGGTGGACATAGTGTTTAATTTCACTTAACTTATTTAATACTTAAAGATGAAAGAGTCATCCTTTAGTGCTGCAGACTAATGATGCAAATGTAGGTCCAGAAACAATGGGAAACAGAATGCTCTATTGGTTGTACTGAGGAACAAGCTTCTTTTGGCTACTTTTGCTAATCCCTAATTCAGCTGCCAGTTAAAGAAATGACTGTGTAATATGAATAAATGGTGCTTGTGATTGCTTCTGTGTTTATGTATCAGGTCGCAGATAAACAAAATGTTTTCTTTCTTTTCAACCCTCAGGTACTTCATTGTACAGGTCATATTCGTGTTTATGAGAATTGCAACAATCAAAATGTGTGCGGCTATAAAAAGCCTCCCATGACATGTTTGGTATTAATTTGTGAGCCTATACCTCATCCGTCAAATATTGAAGTCCCATTGGATAGTAAAACGTTCCTCAGCCGCCATAGCCTTGACATGAAATTTTCCTATTGTGATGAAAGGTAAAGCCTCTGGACAACAATGCCAATGCATAGCTCACTCTCCTCCACTTCCAAAATGGATTCCCTTTGAATTATGTTACTCACATGATTGCTGATGGCATACTGCACCATTGTACTGTACCGTGCGCTTATTTGTTAAAGTTGAGGGAGAGAATTGATTAAATGATGATGCAAACTTATGTGCATCCTTCAGTTTCATAATTTTCAATTCTCAACAATGAGGATGCAAAATTATTTCTATTCTATTTCTATTATATCTATAAAAATGATTTTGCTTTCATTTTCCAAAATGTTGTTAGATGATAAAAAAAAAAATTAAGGTCATGTTTTAATTTTTCTAGTTTTTTAGTAAAATATTGGAAACTAATTAGCTAGCATATATTAAAGCTAAAGCAACAGTTACATTACGGTTATAGCAATATATATTTTTTTCTTTTAGAAAAAAACCACTTCTGCTTTCCCTAAGTTCTGTGGGGTTTCATTTCCTTGTTCCGTGCAACACTGCCATCAAGTGGCTGAAATAATTTTTACATTTGGCATTCCCCAGTCTGGTGTTCTTTAGGTGTGTTGGACCACTTCTCCAACCTCAAGCAAAAGTATTAGGCATGCTAGCTTGGAAGAAAAGGACTTGCACTTCAGCACGTCTAGAGGCACCTGATCGGGGAATGACAAAGATTGTATTGTTATATAGGAAAAGTATAATTGATGTAATGCTGAAATATGTTTTGCTTATGAGTTTTTCTTTTGAGATAAGCAACAATCCTCAAACTTCTAATTCATTTTGTCTCTGAGCACAGGTCATATTGTAGCTACTAGTAAAGCCTGTATTGTGATCTGTGTTTGTCTAATTAATGCAATGTTTATTTCCATTTCATTCAGTGTTATTTCTATTGTAATTTTATTTATATCATCTCTCCATGCACTTGGGAAGAAGCATACTTAAAAACATTAAATGACATGATTCATAACATCCCATTGATTCCCAAAATACAAAATAAAACCAGTATGTAAATATTTTTTAATTATTTTTTTTCTAAGTTGCTTTGAATCCAGCAAAATCGCAAACCTTAATGGTTCTAGCTCATTTTGGCTCCAAGCCGAGGAGATGTTATAGTTTCTAGCAAAGATTGTATTATGCTTTTTGTTTTATTTGAAACAGATAATAAATTGCAATAGTTTTTCCCCCAATAAACTTTTAAGACTTTTCAAATAAACTGTATCTGTAATCTTTGAAAATATTTATTTATTTTTAATTTTTTCTTTCCTTTTGCATAAAGGATTACAGAACTAATAGGATATGATCATGAAGAACTCCTGGGGCATTCTGTATATGAATATTATCATGCGCTGGATTCTGACCATCTGACCAAAACACATCATGACAGTAAGTCAATGAAGGAAGGATAGTTGCATGCTATTCAGATTTCATTAACATATTCTGTGCTTTTTATCATAAACCTTGTACACATTATGCCAGCATTTTGTCAGATGCTGTGTATGCTGTTGTGCAATTCTAAGCAATTCAAAAGTTCTGAAACTTTTGAGGCTGATGAGTATATTTTGAATGTTGGAGAACTAATCTTGGGCACAGATTTGCTGCCATAAAAAATGGCAAATTTACAAGTGACTAATTGTAAAATAGCCATGCAGTAAAAGACATTCTGTTGCTAGATGGATGTAACTTGCTCAGTAACTGAAGAGGTAGAATAAATGTCTGAATCACAAATATCAAATTATCTATTTGTGCCCATGGATACCAACTTCATTAAACACAACCTGGTAATTATCACAGAAATGGTCCCTCAGCATATTACTCTGATACATAAATATGCATACCTAGGAAAAGACCACACTAGAAGAAACAAGCCATGTAATTATTCTCAAAAATAGTCAAAAACAAAGCATATAAGCACATGTGTTCCATTGGTGAATTAAAACATTTTTTAGCTTACTCAGATGCCCTACACTGACCCTAGGTCCCATCACCATTTACTTTTTTTAAAAATAACTATTTATTTAGAAAAAAATTCTGATTGCCCAACTCTGGGCAAATCCAGCCAGCTTGCAAAAAAAAAATAAAACCCCAGTATAAAACCCAATCAACTCCAATCCCCATCTTTAATATTGCAAATATTAATGTTAAAAGCATTCTTTGGGATGAAGATGTTTTAAGAGACCGGAACTTTATTTTGCAGTATTCATTATTTTCATTGAAAATAATTGCTTTTAAAAATGGCAAGACCAATTAGAGTTGAGTGAGTGTCTGGCAACCTACTGGGCAACCCAGTCTTCAATACATAAATAATTTGGGTGTCTTTCTTCTTCCAGTGTTTGCCAAAGGGCAAGTCACCACCGGACAATATCGAATGCTTGCCAAGCAAGGGGGCTATGTCTGGGTAGAGACTCAAGCAACTGTTATATACAATACTAAGAATTCTCAACCACAATGTATAGTGTGTGTGAACTATGTCTTGAGGTAAGTTTAGTTAAATGCTAATGAGGGGAGTGCAAATAATCAGCCGGTTAGTAAGCTGGCTTTTTGAAGAGAAATTGTGGGAATTTTTCTGCCTGATGTAATGCTAATGTTGTTGTGACAGAGTTTATTTCTTCAGTATGTATTTCTTTGTTCATTTCTTTATTATGTTGAGGTGATTTCTGTATGAAATCTAGTTTGTCTTCCTACTGATTGCCCATAGGTTTTCGTATCTGTTGTGGCAATGCTATTTATACTTTGAGAACCTGCAAAAGGGTTTGATAATGGATGTAGCTATTACAATAAATAAGAGTCTGCATGTGTGCCACTCAGGTTTTCTTTATCCAGTCCACATATAGAATTAGGTTGGATTATTCTGCCTTCAGATAGAAATACATACTATACATAACATTATATTAATCTTCAATGCAGATATTATTGATTAATTGAATTGTGTGCCATCAAAGTAGTGTCAACTCTTAGTGATCATGATTATGTAGTTATTCTCCAGGACAATCTTTCCCAACCTGGTTTATCATTTTTTGCAGTGGTGTAGCCTCACCACTGTAATTGAGTCCATCGATCTTGCTGCTAGTTGGCATCTTCTTTTTTCCTTCTACCTTTCCCACTACTATACTTCTGCAAACAGCTAATGTATCTAAAGTGTGATAACTTGAGTATGGACAGTTTTGCCTTGAGTGAAAACTCTGGGTTGACTTATTTGATGATCCTTTTGTTTGTTTTCTTGGTCATCTATGGTATTCTCAGAAATCTTTTCTAACACCAAAGTTCAGAGGTATAAATAATCTTTCTACCCATCTTCTCCAAAGTTCAACTTTTGTTTTCACTGAATATCAGAGGAAAAAACAATTATTCGGATGATTCTGATCTCTAGACATTTCCCAGCATCTGAATATTTTTTCCAAGGACTTATGGCTACTAAATGCGAAGTATTTAACTCCTGCTGGTTCCCTCATTGTTGATAATCCATTTTTAAAAATGCAAAAAGAATCCATCACTTTAGTATCTTGCCTTTTTTAAGGCTGGTTACTGTATTTGAGGCAATTCATTTAGTCTTCTTTATGTTTCATCTTAGTCCTGTTTTAATATGCTCCTTGGCTTTCATTACTCATAGTTCATTTGTATTTTCAGTTGTCAGAGTAGTTTCATCACTATAGCACCTGTTCTTGATGTTGCTTCCTCCAGTTTTAAACTATGCTCATCTTCCAGTTCAACTTCTGCATGTAGGTTGGATTAATAAGGTGGGAGTATATATTCCTTTCTCACCTAGAGCCAACAGTTTATTTCTCCATTTCCTGTCTCTACTGTGTTTTCTTCACTTGTGTCTAAATTTCACATGAGGACAGTAGGTGTTCTGAGATTCCCATTTTTATATTTGCACTTTTCACCCTTTGACATGATGGTCGAAGGGCCTTCCTGTAATCAATGAAACACATACTGAGTCGAGTATTTTTCACTTTCTTGATTAAGGATTATGCAATGTGAACCAGCAATTATGTCCCATGTTTCTTGGCTTTTTCTAAAGCCACCTTGAACCTTTGACATGTCCCTTTCTATGCGGAGTTCTAATTCTGTATTGAATATCCTGAACATTTGCTTGTGCGCAAAGTTAAGAAGATTGTGTAATATTTTGTGCATTATGTTAAGTCTCCTTTCTTTGGTGCTTGAATATGAATTGACCTTTTCCAATTTTTGATCCCTGTCATTCTCCAAATTTGATGGTTAGAACCTTTACCTGAAATGTTGACTTTTCTGGATTAATACATTTTTCAGCTACATCCTCACATTTATATTTTTGATTTTGACTCTTTTCAGGCTATTAATGATGTGTATTTCCCATTTTTATAAGTTTATGTGCATAAAACACATGCAATTGAATTCATGCCTATTTTCAAAGGAATGTTATGTTATTGTTTTAAACATGCATCTAGAGAGAGTTATGTGGTTAGTGTCTCAAGAAAAGAAAAAAATAGATTTATTTTCTAGTGAACAGTTTGTTCATCACTAACGTTTTCCTACAAAATATAATTATGAAATATTATTAGAAGTTAATTTAGGGTGCAAAGTGGTAAAACCTAATAGTTTTGGACATTCCACCATCTATATTTACATCTAGAACATATCCAGAGTTTTCTTCAGTAAGCAGAGACTATGATAAATGCTCAGGGAGCCCTTGCCATGACAGAGTAGTATAAGGCCAGAATATATTTCGTATATGTTTCTTGTGCAACAGACGTACATTGTAACTAAATGTGCATTGTGCAGCTCTCAAAATCTCTTTTATAATTTCTGTCTTTATTCTTTTGCAGTGGAATTGTTCAGGGGGACTTGGTCTTTTCACTTCAGCAAACAGAGTGTATGTTGAAACCAGTGGATTCTCCTGAGATGGGAATGATGAAAGTACTCAACAAGAGTGATCTGGAAGATAGCAGCAGCCTCTTTGAGAAACTTAAGAAGGAACCTGATGCATTAGCCTATCTTGCTCCTGCTGCTGGAGATACTATAATAGCATTAGATTTTGACAACGATGGTGTGTGTATATTTAATCACATATTTAAAGAAAAAGGCTAATTAGCCATAAATGCTGACCCATTAGAATTTCTTAAAGAGATGAATTTTAATAAGGCTCTTGACTGATGACTCAATCTTTCTTTCTTTGTTTGATGATATCTTTTTAAAAAAATTTGTAGAGCCAGATGAACAACCATCTGATGACGTTCCTTTATATAATGACGTAATGCTCCCCTCATCCAGTGAGAAACTGCAGAATATAAATTTGGCAATGTCCCCACTATCTGCTTCTGAAAGAGCAAAGCCCCTCTGTAGCAGTGCTGATCCAGCACTCAATAGAGAGGTGGTGGCCAAACTGGAGCCCAGCACGGAACCCTTAGATCTTACTTTCTCCAGCCGACAGACCCAAGATCAACCAGCTACTCCTTCTGATGGAAGCACTAGCCAAAGCTCGCCTGAGGTTTGTCATTTAATAATCTTTTGCAGCTTTCCATTGGTTCTGTATTAAAAATGTATGCACTATCCACCTTGTATTAGATCATTTTCCTACACCAGAGAGGATAGTAGGGAGAAAATAAAAACTGAATCTTTGCTAGTGAACTTTGTGCTGAATGAGGATTCTGATTAGAAACCTTTTATTAGAAATAATAAAACTATTATCACACATTTTCTTATCCAAACAGTGTAGTAACAGTTTTTAATTGTTTTGCTCAGCTAAAGATTAAAACAATTTACTTCTCCTTGATTTGATTAGTTTCTGTTGACAGTTAAGAATTATTCTGAGTTACAGAATTTGCATTTGACAGTTTGCTTTTATTAGTATAGCTTTGTTTCCTAAGCCTTAAGAATGTTTTTAAATACAATTTTAAAATGTGAGGAGCTATGTGTCAAAATGATTGTGTGAGCTTTATTATTCCAATTTATATATCTATTGTGCCTCATCCTAATTATAGCAGCTTAATGATTTACAATTTCAATGAATAGACCTTTTCCCCATGACATCGGATTCATATATACTGCACTTGAAATTTGATCTCATTTTACTGAGTAAAGTTGCTGATTATTTTTACAGCCTAATAGTCCTCCTAACGATTATTGCTTCAGCATGGATAATGAGATATCAAGTGAGTTCAAGCTGGAATTGGTGGAAAAGCTCTTTGCAATAGACCCAGAATCGAAAAATCCATTTTCAATGCAGGTGAGCACATTAATTAAAACTTCTGGTTCATTCTGTTTTAATATGTACACATGCATGATGTTTTACTTACAATGCTTGGTGTAATTTTTCAAATACTAAGGTAGAATACTAAGTTCATTACTATCTGACTAGATATAGGTGAGTAGGTGAGGGAATTGGCAAGATATGGATGACACACAAGGTGGATGGATGGATGGATGGATGAAGTCATTTAGCTCTGCTGTAACTTCAAATGGTTGTTGACTGAATTGTCATAAATCAAAAATCACCTGCAATATCCAATTCTGAGGAATCGAAATATTTTGACTAAAGTGATTGTAATCAGAAAACCTCAAATGGTCTATGTAGCACTTCAGATTTATTTTCAAAACAGTGCACGGCAGTGTCACTATGTACTTGACTGTAAAGCCTTAAAGGAGCAGCATCTAATTTCCAGGATTTTCTGGCAGTTTGTAGCATGGCTGCTACAAACTGTCATAAACAGGGTGTATATTTGTGCAACTTTGTTGTTCTGGAACATCTGCTGAAGAAAAGAATTTGAAATACTACAGAATCGTAGTCTCTGGATGATGTTTATAAAGGTTATTTCTGGAACCCTGATATAGGTAATATCTATATAAAGTAAGGATAAGGCCATTTTATCAGTCTAATGTAGCTGAACCCCATAAACCCCTGAAAACTATGTTGCTCTCCATTTCAGTAGTCTTCCCAGCTCTTTGGAAGCAGGAGGAAAAGCAGGGTTGATAAATTTTTGGAAGATGTTAGGCCTGATAGCAGTTTAATCACAATCCTGTGTCAGTTTATGCAATTATGTCTTCTTCTTTCAGGAAACAGATTTAGATTTGGAAATGTTGGCACCTTATATCCCCATGGACGATGATTTCCAGTTGCGCACTTTTGACCAGCTTTCTCCACTGGAGGTCAATACTGCAAGTCCTTCTTCTAGTGTGACTCCTGTAACAGGGTTTCAGCAAACTCCAATGCAGTCATTGGCCACTGACACGATAAAATCCACAACAATCAAACACGAAACTGCTCCAAAGATGCTTGTAACGCCTGCCCCTATTAACCCCAAAGTACTGCCAGATCCGGCTCCCATAATCAGTACCCCAACATCACCTTATGCTAAGAATGAAAGTCGGACTTCATCTCCAATCAGAACAGGAAAAGGCACAATAGACCAGACAGACCAAATGAGTCCAGGAGCACCAGACTTGTTGACGGTCACTTTTGGTAACAGGTAAACGGAATTATCTGTCAAATCTTAAAGCCAGTCAGGTGATCTGTTCCCTTAAACACAGAAAAGTGGATGAACCTGTGGATAGTAGTGTTTGCAAGCACTAGTAAGTCCCCTGATCCTACTTGTCTTTCTTTTAGAATTTGTCTTATTTAAAAAAAAGAGCAAAACGCTAGCATTTAGGCCGGAATCTATTTTTCTAGTGAGAATCAAAGATCACCGGAGAAGAGATTATTTTTGTTAAAAAGGTATTTTGCTGTTGGCTGTGACAACTAATATGTAAACAGGGAAATCTCTTCTGATGCAGGTAGTCCTCGGTTAAGGATCCTTATTGGGACAGGAGTTTCCATTGCTAAGTGATGTTGAGACTCTAGAAAGAGTGCAGAGAAGAGCAACAAAGGTGATTAGAGAAACAGTTGCGGGAATTGGGTATGCCTAGTTTAATGAAAAGAAGGACTAGGGATGACATGATAGCAATGTTCCAATATCTAAGGGGCTGCCACAGAGAAGACAGGTTAAACCTATTCTCCATAGCACCTGAATGCAGCCATGAAGCAATGGGTGGAAACTAATCATGGAAAGAATTTAGGAGAAATTTCTTGACCGAACAATCAATAGGATGACTTGCCTCCAGAAGGAAGTTGCGGGTGTTACAACATGACAGGGTTTTAAGAAGAGATTGGACCACCATTTGTCTGACATGGTATAGGGTTTCCTGCTTGAGCAGCAAGTTGGACTCATAGACCTCCAAGGTTCCTACCAACTCCGTTATTTTGTTATTCAGTCATTAGGCAAAACACTACATGACCATATCACTTGACAACAGCAGTTCCAGTAGTCCTGGTTGCAGTTATTAACCCAGACTCTCCCACTTCTTTACCTGCTGCACTAGGTTCTGCTTCAGTTTCCCTCACCCACCTATCTTCCCCCACACACATCTATAACCTTTTGCCTGTCTTGCACTCCACCTTATATCCTTCTCTGTCTTCTTCCCACTTCTGACAAAGTTGCACTTCTGGCCCTTCATGAGCAGCTGCTGGCTGCAATACTTTGTCAGTAGTGAGAAGAAGAAAATGGCAAAGGACAGCAAGTGAAAAAGGTGGCAGATTGCACAACAGCATGAGTGGCAGAGAGCAGGGTGGCAGCGGCAGTGAATGGAGGGTGGCCAAAAGGCAGAGATAGGGGAAAATAGGTATGTGGGAGAGGGATGAAAATGCATGCTGAAGTTGTAAATACAGTTGGGCTGCAGAGCACCTGAATTTTGATTACATGACTATGGGGTGCTGTAGCGGCCATCACTTTGACATACATACATTTTTCAGCACCACTGTAACTTCAAACACTTGTTGAATGAATGTTTATTAAGTGAGGACCACCTGTAGTCATTTGATGGATATGCCTACTGCTGCTTTTAAAAAATCCAAAGTGCCATGGGTCACAAAAATCAGCTATCCTGATATTTATTCTCTGTACGCCAGTGTTGCCCTACAGTAATATTTTCCTATTCACAGATAAGGAAGCATCTTAACCAAGTTATCTAATAAGTCAAAGTGCAGCTGAATTTTGCGACCTAATACTTTAGCCTCAATCTGCTAGATCAGGGTTGTCAAACTCCCGGCCCATGGGCTGGTTGTGTCATGTGCTGGCCACACCCATGCCCAGTTTAGTGAAGGGGAAAAAGTCTTCCTAATAAGTTCAAACCGTTCCTGTCAGTCTTGCTGTAAATTTGTTGTAAATTTTATTTTCATCTTATCTTCATTCAGAATCTTTTCGGATATTTAGCTTTGCATTCTGGAGAACAGGTCATTCCTATGAGGCTAAATGGTCTAAAAAAACCTACTTCCTTATAGAATTAAAGATGAATAAATTTGCACCTAGGCTAGTCTTTTGCTTTGTTTTAATTAATTAGCAATTAATATTGGTCTTCTGGTGTAGCTAAGTCAAATTTGATACTGAAAGTACACATTTAGTATTTTTAAAATATTGCTGATTGGGTGTCTATGGAGATTCTCAGTCATCCAGATCATGGTTGTTCCAAAGGTGCTTTTTCAAGAGGCAACTGGACTTTCTGGTTTTTCTTTGAAGATGTTTCACTTCTCATCCAAGAAGCTTCCTCAGCTCTGACTGGATGGTGGGGAATAGAAGGATTTATATTCCTTGCAGACAGCTGGTCATTTGCATTCTTTTAGTGAGTCGTTAAGTTGTTAGTGAGTCAGTAAGGCTACATGGAGATCTATGTCAGGGTCACCTCAGTGGTGCAAATGGGTATGGAGTCTTCGTGGAACTGTTGAAAGGACTGTGTTATAGACTGGGGATAGATGACCTTGTATCCCAGATTATGTCATATCCCTCCCCCTCTGTTGAGAGAGAGTTGTTCAATTTTGACATAAATGGCCTCTTTGAGTATGAAAGTCCTAAGTCCACCCCAGCTAGCCCACCTAAAATTCACAGGCATACACCTTCAGCTGAAAATTTCAGCTCCTTTTCATTTAAGGATGTCATAAGCAGTGTGTTCCAGGCACAGAAGCACAGTACAATTCCAGGCTGAGAAGAATTTTTCATATTTGGCCTAAACCCTGATGAGCTAACATTATTATAAAAGAAAACAGTCTAGATTTTATTCTATCAAATTATTCATAAATTTAGTTTTAATTGATCTGGGACAATTGTTAACCCCTCTGGCTTTATATTCCACACTAGATCACCTGAAGTGAATGAAGACATCAGTCCAAGGATAATAGCTCTCCATAATATTCAGAGGAAACGAAAAATGGAGCAGGATGGCTTGCTTTTCCAGGCAGTAGGAATTGTACGTTTTTTTTAAGGATTTTCCCCTCCTTTCTTTTAATGTTGGGTATTGCATCTTTAAAAATGTATTTTTCTTGAGTCACCAACTTATTATTTCACAAGAACATTACAATTTTTACCTCAGAGTTGTCAGCTAAATGAAGAGCCTGCTTAGCTCTGTTCTTCTACTTCTGTCTTTTAACAATATCTTTCATTACTCGTGGCCTCTCAGAGTTGTAAACTACAACTATGGTTTTGATGTTTCAGCTAAACAGAGTGGGTCTTGTTTAGTGGTGGGATAGGAGACCACCAGAACCTCTAAGGGTGTCGAAGTGGAAGGAAGTAGGGCGTCTTGTTTTTTATGTTACATTTCACTTATCAGTGATTAGAATAGGTTATACATATACATAAATACACACTTAGTGGCTTAGTACACAATGGTACTATTTTATTCATAATGTTGTTTTATAATTTAAACTGGCTTTATCCATTTAGATTTTAAGTATTCTGTTCCTTGTATTTAGTAATCTGCTATTTTATTTACTTCTGATCTTTTAGAAAATATTTATGTATTTTAATTTGCACACTGCAACTTCAAACAACAATTGTATAAAATTGCGATTGGTGATCCTACTACCACAGTTGCTCCAGGTCACAAGAGTAGGTTTGCTTTGAAAAGAGGGTATTGTTATACCCTCCCTTCAGAGACGAATGGTAGTTTACCAGAATCTCTCCCCCCAGCCCCGGTTCTGATACAAAGCAAAACTGATTAGCTTCAAAGCATGCACAATCTGAATCGCATGCTTCTGGATCAGGCAACTTTTAATAAGTAACATCCTTAATAGATTGTTGGAATAATGAAGATATACACGTAGTCCTTGACTTACAATAGTTCACTTAGTGATTGAAGGGTTAGGGTTAGTTAAATCATCGAAAAAAGTGATTTATGACAATTTTTCACACTTATAACCATTGCAGCATCTCCATGGTTACGTGATGTACATTCACATAGCAATAACATTTAGACTTATACTATATACAGCTTCACAGTGCTTCTACAGCCCTGTCTAAGCAGTTTTACAGAGTCAGCATATTGCCTCCAACAATCTGGGTCCTCATCTTACCTACCTCGAAAGGATGAAAGGCTGACTCAACCTTGAGTGGTGAGATTCGAGCTGCCAAATTGCAGGCAGCCGGCAGGCAGTAGAAGTAGCCTGCATTACTGCATTCTAACCACTGTGCCACTGCAGCTCATCTGCTCCTATGCAGATGCTTGACAACTGACTCCTATTTATGACAGTTGCAATGTCCTGGAGTCGTGTGAACACCTTTTGCAACCTTCTGACAAGCCAAGTTAATGGAGAAACCAGATTTACTTAACAACCATGTTATTAATTTAACAACTGCAGTGATCCACTTAGTAAATGTGGCAAGAAAAGTCATAAAACGAGGCAGAATCCACTTAACAAATTTCTCACTTAGCGACATAAATTTTGAGTTCAATGGTGGTCGTAAGTTGAGGACTACCTGCATGAACTTCAGGAAAGCATTTCACCCATTGCATGCTGACTATGGTTAGTTAAGTGTGGGCTATACCAAAATTAAGATAATGAGCCAGCAGTGTGACATGGCTGCCAAGAAAACAAGGAATGAGGTCTTTTGGACTGAAGTAGTATAGAAGTCATACAAATCATAATCAACAACAATAGTACAATTTCAACCCATGAAAGAAATTATTCTACTCTATTGTTTTGTTAGCACTCACTTTGAATACTCTGTTCATTTCTGAACAAAATAGTTTTAAAAATAATTCAGTGAAAGTGAAACAGATTTGAGAAAGTGAACAAAATTGAACAAGTAACTAGAAACAAGCCAGGGAAGAAAAAAAGAAGTTGGATTTGATTAGCTTTAAGAAAGGGCAAGATATAGGATCTGCACGAATGGTTTGAATCTACTAGAAAACTGATTCTGATTGAATGTTGAATAAAAATTCCAAGAGCAATTCAGTAATGCAATTAATTGCCCAGTAAAGTGGTGCCCTTCCCTTGTAGATGTGTTCTGGATACATCTAGATGGTATCTAGAGATAGGTAGTTCTCGAATTACGACTTCCAACATGCCCATTCATGTTGAAAGTCGAGGACTGTGTCAAATGAAGTGCATAACCCCCCCATCCTTGCTTTCCTCAATGCGTTCATTAAATGAATGCACAGGTCGTTAGATAGAGCATGGGGCGATGTGTGCAGGAAAATGTAGGAGGCCTAGTATAGACTGAGGTGCACTTGGGATTCTTCCCTGCTATCAGAGATTACGTTCTCTTCAGGATATTTGCTTTTAAATGAGTACATCTTTTTCATTTCAGTAGTATTTTTGAGTAGAAGCTCCGTGACCACATTTTTAAAAAGTGTGTATATATATTTTAAGGGCACATTATTGGCACAATCGGGGCCTCCTGGAACAAATATATCATTGGCTTGGAAACGTGTAAAAGGATGCAGATCAAATGGACAGAATGAGGTGGCAGAGAAGACTGTAATTTTATTACCATCAGGTTAGTGTCTGTGTAATGCTAACGTAATATAATCCCCTTCTCCTTTTCTCATGTAAACACCAGTATATTATAAAATATTTAATATTAATAAAAATTAGGTATGGTATGAAGGCCCAAACTTGGGTTGTCTATTAGAGGAATTCTATTTTAATATGTATATTGTGGAAAGGAATGAAATGGACTAGATCATAAGGTATGGGGAACTTTGATAATGTGAAATTAACACTAATATCCTTCCATAGGATTTGAGAACACAGCAACCTTGCTTCTTAAAAAGTAATTGGGGACACCCTCCTCCCATGCTGTATCACATACCCTTATGCATTGTTACTTATTTCCAGTAATGTCTCTGAATCCATAGAGGTGTCAGAGGTATTCTTAGATAATAAAAATGAAAGATAGGACTCTCCCATTACTTAGTTGGGAATAATGTTTAACTGTCCAGGGGGGAAAAACAAAGAAGATGTATAGATGTGTGTGTAGTTGCATAACTTAATATTTCCTTTCACTGTTTCTCTTTTGAGCAAGAGTAAATCTTAATTCAGCTACTCCTTTAATTTAATATTCTGCTAAATATTTTTAAAGGATATATTTCCATTGGCCCAATAATACTGTTTTATTTTTAAGAATACCGCCTCTCCGCTGCACTTTTGCCATCACTATAGGTACTTACAATAAAATAAATAAATTCTCTAACCAATCATTCACACAGTCAGGAGAAAGGCTTTGTCCCACACCAAGGACACTCAGGGTTCTACCTGTTCTCTGCCGCCCTGTAAAATTGAAACACTACGTTTAGCCTTGTTATCGGATAGCTAAGTTCTCTAACAGATGACAGGTGATTCCTCTATTTATTTGTTCAGTTAGTTGTTCCAGAACGCTGTACAAGTAACATTCATTTTCTTTTTCCTTGTAGATATAGCAAGTAAACTTCTAGGGCAGTCAATGGATGAGAAGGGACTTCCACAGCTTACCAGCTATGATTGTGAAGTCAATGCTCCTATACAAGGCAACAGAAACTTGTTACAAGGTGAAGAGTTGTTCAGAGCCCTGGATCAGATCAACTGAGCTTCTCTTCCTGTACCTCCAGCTTCATTAGTGTTCTGTTTTCTTGGACATTGGTGATTTACCACCTAAAAGCAGTGTATTTATATTTTCTATATCTGAGTTTAGAAGCCTGGATACAAATACTGCACTAATTCAGTTAGTTTGTATCTGATCCCTTTTCTATTTTGGACAATTTCTTGCATAATGAGTCTCTCTCTCTCTCTCTCTCTCTCTCTCTCTCTCTCTCTCTCCCTCTCTCTCTCTCTCTCTCTCTCTCTCTCTGCTAATGAATGCATTTTTGGTAAAACAGTTTAAGTCAGTTAAATTTAGAACATACTTACAATGACAGCTTTGAAGTAGGCACCTTTTCAAAAAGTATTTATTTTTTATTTTGACTAGGAGTTTGTCACTGAAGAATTTTTATCTGATGATACATTGCCGCAATAAATTCGTCTAAGCTTTCTATCATGTGGTTGTAGGCATACTTGAAGGCACATTGTGCTGTTATCTATAATATTTGAATAAATTTTTACTTCACCTTTTTTTTTTTTAAAAAAGGAATATTGCTTTGCAGCAGTGCATTTGTAGCCAGTCGCACAATCTATTTTCTTATGAAAATATACAAAATACCAGCAGTTCCTCATGTAATATTGTGCGTTTATAAAACTAGTTTTTAATATGAACATTTTTTTCTTTTTTGTTTCTCTGTTATGTTAATTACATGTGAAATTATGTAGAAATTTTGGAGTAGTGCTATTTTTTATGTTGTATTTCAAGATGCTCCTAAATTCTGTTTTAATATTAAAGTAGGATTAGGAGAAAACAAGTTGCATATGTGAGGCTAGCAACATCTGGAGACTTTCAGGTTAGGAAAAAAGATTATTGGAGTACATAATGGGAATCTCATGCAAATATTTATAGAACAAGTTGATAGAAGGGTTTTTTCCCCCCTTCCTTTTGGGTTTTTTAAAATTGGGCCCACTAAATAAGATTGACCTTCAGACCAATTGAAAATCATTTATTTTCCTTTTTTAATTTCTTATTTTTCTGCAAATGAATGATTTCACTGCTACAACATGGCCATTTTAGAAATCGTTTTCCAAAAGATGTCTTTTTCTAAAAAATAAAAAAAAGACATGGTCTTAGGGTCATCTGTGTTTGAAGGCAACATATCTCCTAACAGTTTGCTAGGATAGGGTTTTGTTTTCATGCCTTGTTTATAAACTTTCTAGAAGCATCTGATTGAGTTGGATGGACCTTTGGTCTGATCCAGCAAAGCAGTTTGTTTTTTATATTAAGAAATTTTCTTTTATTTGAAAAACAATCCATTTTTGATGTTGAAGTTTTTGATCAACTCAAAATTCTCCCTAGCTCAAAGCTGTGAAAGTACATGCTAATACTATATAACAACAACAGCTTCAATGTTCCCATTACTTTGTTTGGTAGAGGTGATATTTCAGAAAAAATCATAAACCATGTTGCTTTTTTAGTTCAGTTATCTAGTTTCATCATTAAGTTGCTTACTAATAATTCAGTGTTTGGGATTTTAAGTAGCTTGTTGCTATTAACATCAGAACTGCCCTCATTCCATTAAACATAGCTTTCAGTAATTCTGAATATACTTTATATACTTTTAATTTAGGAAATAAGTCACAAAACATCTTTCTTTCTACATGCTGTACAATAAAATCTACCTACTCATTCTTTTTTTTCTTTTTGTGGTTGGATATGACACTAACTGTATTGTTGTATGACATCAATAAACTATGTGACCAGGCCTGTAACAAAGGATTCTATTTGCAGCTGATAATAAATTTCCAGCGTGTACTGTAATTTTTTTGCTCAGAAATCAAACTAAACATGCCTTGAAATTTTTTGATAGTATGTTGAGCAGAACAGTAAGGATGGGTGCTATAGCTCTGGTATGCACATGTTCATCCCAGAATGTTAGAAAAATTCTCAAGGCATGCATGATTCTTACAGTGCAATTCTGAACATGTCTACTTCAACAGATCGAGTTTGACACCCATGCTATAATCTCAGTATCGTTATAAAGGTCTGCTTTTTGGATATAATCTCCTTTGTAGAGGGAAACAGGATTTTTTCCCTCAGGTATAGCATATCTTGATCTCAATAAAGTCTCCTTACATCCTTATTAATAAAATGGTAGAATGTTGGTCATATGATGAGATTGATAGATGGATTTACAATTGGTTGAATGACTGCCCCAAACAATACTCATACATTATTCTATATCACTTTGAAGATAGTATTTAGTAGAGTGTCAGAAGGCTCTTCCTCAGGCACTATGCTGTTCAACATTTTTATTAACGATCTTACTTAAGGGGCTGCGGGATATTATTATAAAAATTTTAGATAATACAGAACTAGAGGGAATGTTTAATATAGATACTCCTTGATTTACAACAGTTCATTTAGTGAACAGTGGTGTGATTCAAATTTTTTTACTACTGGTTCTGTGGGCATGGCTTAGTGGGTGTGGCAGGGGAAGGAGACTGTAAAATCTCCAGTTAGAGGTGGGATTGGCCAGTTCCCCAAATTACTCAAAATTTCCGCTATCGGTTCTCCAGAACTGGTCAGAACCTACTGAATACCGCCTCTGAGTTAAAACCTTTGCAGCATCCCCATGATCATGTGACCAACATTCAGATGCTTGGCAACTGGTTCATAATTATGACTGTTTTTGCATCCCGGAGTCATGTGATCACCTTTTGCAACCTTCTGACAAAGCAAGTCAATGGGGAAGCCAGATTCACTGTAACAACCAAGTTCGTAACTTATCAACTGTAGTGATTCACTTAAGAATTGTGGCAAGGAAGATTGTAAAATGGTGCAAAACTCATTAACAACAGAAACGTTGGGATCAATTGTCATAAATTGGGAACTGCCTGTACTTTAGAAGACAAAAATACAAACAGTGAGCCAATAGGAACAGTATGACATTTGGCAGGGAAAAATGGCTTCTCTGCAATAAAAAAGGCACATTTTGGGATGGGGAAGTTTTGGCTTGAAGTAGTAAAAATAATAATAATTAAAAAATAACAATGTTCTAGTAGTTCACAAGCTGAACATCAACTAATAGGGTTAGGCAGCTGCCGAAAACCCCAAAATTGTTTTGTGGGTGTATTAACAGGGATTTAGTATCCAGATTACAGGAAGTACTTGTGGGTCAGGCCCTATTTAGAGTACTACATTCAGTTTAGTGTGCTGTAGTCTAAAAAGGACATCAATGTGATTATCAAGATAGTGAGGAAGGCAGTAACCATGTTCTAAGAGGAACAGTTAAAATGATCTGGTTATGTTTCATTTATGACTGAGAGGAGATACGATAGCTATCTAAAGGGCTGTTAAATAGAGAAGGAAGTAGACTTGTCTCGTCACCCTGGAGGGTAGAACCAGAAGTAGCATGGAGAACACGAGATCTTCAAACAGGTTTGGATAGCCATCTAACTGAATTGTAGAATTTGAAGAAGGCATTGCACACAATCTAGCAGTTAAAAGACATGAAATCTCCTTAATCTCACAACGCATAAACAGACCCAACCATAGTTTTAACTGGAAACTAAGCATTGTAGACAAATTAAATCTAACATGCTAGAAAATTCTTGGAAGCTTGGCATTCAGATTTATCAGCCATCAATAGACACATAGAAATAAACCACATTTACACACCATTCAAATGACAATTAAAAAAACCTAGAAAGGAAACAGAATACCTCTTCAATAGCCTACAGCCAGATAAGCAGACAAACAAAAAAATAATACTCTAATAAAGGAACTACCAAGGAGAAAACCCACAGCATCAATCCCGGCCCCAGCACTGGCAGAGCAAGCTATTACATTTAACTGGGGAGCAAATCCCACACTCATTAGCAGTGATTATGTTACTAGTTGGGTAAATGAAACATCTGCAACAAACAATGAGGTTCAGAGAGCAAATCTGAACTACATACATTTTCTATTGGACACTGCAGATATATTTGTGGCAAGTAAACATTAATTGTTAAGTTTTGTTTTCTAAGGAATAAACATGGGGTTTGGGTGAAGCAAATTCCATATCCAAATTCTGATTTTCATTTCAGATGTGAATATATACATTTTCACAACATAGTGACAGACAAGCAAATGTAAAACACCTTTGCGGTACCAGTTGTGCTTGCTGCTGGACACTGGGGCTTTGCTGCTATGGCTGCTGGACATTTTCCTGTACCACTACCTTGTTGCTTGCTGGGGCTTTGGAACAGAGGCTGGGGGATGGGGTAGGGGACAGAGTGGCAGGCTACTGTGGACTCCCCTTTTTTCACTGAGGCTACTTGGTCTTCCCTGGATAACTGAGAATAAGGAAGAGGACATGATCTATCTGCTAGATCCACTACAGATTGAACATTGATTCCTCCTGGGTAAGAGCCAGAGAAGAATAGGTGCGTGTGTGAGAGAGACAGTGTACGTGTGAATGGGAGCCCTCTATCAGCTGGTGGGAGCAGCAGAAGGTTCCTGTATTAGTGAGTGTTAGTATATATGTGTGTGTTGCAGTGTGTGGGTGTATTTTGTAGTGGTGTGGGAGTTGGTGGCTAGGTATGCTGATGATGCTAAAAGATAGTGAAGCTAAGGTGCCTTGGATGCTTTGCTTTCCTGATCAAGGATGGTTGCAGAAGACATTGGGAGATTCCTGCTTTTGGGAATTGGGGGCCTGAATTTGGAGATGGGCTGTCATGGGAGTGGAGGTGGGCCAGAACATTATGGTGGTGATGAGCAAGGGGAGTCTGGGAGCCTGGTATTCCTAGGAAATGCAGGACTTACCTGACGCTGGTTTTATATTTCAGTTCCGTGGTTTCAGCCACAGACCTTCAGTGACCCTGACTTTTGGTGGCGGCTGCTTTTAAATATTAACATGTTTTAAATGTTTTTTTTAATCTTCTGAAAAGAAAGCAGTGTAGTTTGATATAATAGGAATGTCTTACTATGTATAATTTGTAAACAATATGGAACATATGTTTTTTAAATGATTTTATCGAGAAATCCCATCTTTATTTTTTAGTGAACTCACAAACCACCAATTCACAAAGTATTTTATTTTATTCCTTTCATCTCCAAATATAGATGTTCTATTACACTTTGAGAATCACTACATGAAAACTGCAGTTTTAATTCAAGATGGCAGAGAAACTTGACTAATGCTACCATCAAAACCAATGATAGCTAAAATCTAATACCGTTGAAATGAAAAAAAAAAAAAAAAGATTGGTTCCCTCACCTAGAGAAAATGTCCAGATGTAAAACAGGACATTGGTAACTGTTCAGCATATTCTGCAGCTATTAATCCCTACAAATACCTGTTCCTTGATGTGTAGTGCTTTGTGTGGAGAGGGGCAATGTAATAGGATCCTTCTAGTATGTACAGAAGCTGAATTAGGATAGGGATGGAGGGCAGCCAAATTATAAGACATGCTTTGTCAGACAGAAGGAGATTTAAATCTAGCCACTTGGTTCTATATCTTGCCAATCAAACCCAGGAAAACAAGATGCAGGAATACTAGGTATATTTCCCATCTTAAGTTGAAAATAATATGAGATGAAGGAACAAATGTGTACAAAGTCAGAATTGAGAATACAGCAATAGACAGCAAATGCCACCTCTACAAAGAAGATGAAGAAACAGTGGACCTTCTAATTAGTTGCTGCAAGATTGCACAGACTGACTATAAACAACAGCATGACAAAGCAGTAACAATAGTGCATTGAAATAGTCACAAAAAATATTGTTTTCCCGTGAGAATTGGTGAGATCACAAAATAGACAAAATGAAGAAGCTAAAGTGCTTTGGGACTTTAGAATTTGAACAGACAAACACCTGCCATATAACATCCAAGAATTAACAATTGTTTATAAGAAAGACAAAAAAGTGTGGATTGTGGACGTGGCAGTACCTGGAGCTAGCAGAATAGAAGGAAAAAGTACAGTGTGACAAAAGATAGCAAAGATAGTAATAGGTTCCTTGGGTACATCCTAAAACAACTAGAGCACCACTTGAACACCACCTGCATTAAAAAAATCACATATCAATTACAAAAGGCAGCTTTACTCAGAGTAGTTTACATCTTGTGACAATATCTTTAACAACATCTGCCTATCTCAGGTTCTTGGGAAGGACTCAGTAGAATGGATGGAGAAAAGGGGAAGGAGGAGGAGGAAGGAAGAGTAATGTTGGCCAACTGGACTTATTTCTTGAAGGTTTCCTTCAAATTTCAGAATGGATAACAATTAGTAGCTTTATGCCTCATGCAGTTATCTCTCCCTTTTTATCAATTCTAGTCTTCCTAAAGTCACCAATATGTGCGGTTATTAAAAAAAACACAAACCTTCCAATTTTTGGTACTTCATTATTGTCAAAGCATTTCCAGTCCCCTAATCCATTATACTTACCACTTTGCCCCAAAAGTTCTCTGAAATAATTCACCATCACAACGTCTATATGCTATGCTGTGCTCTGCTGCTCTAGTTTCAGCTGAGGATGCTTCTCCCCGATTCAGGAAGGAGATGTAAATGAGAGAATGTTCTGGATGCGTCCAGTGTACGTGCAGCTCAGCACTCTAGACAGAGCCAGGAGTTATTTACCCTCCCCATCCTTCTTCTCTGTGTCAGAAAAGATAGCTCTTGGCAAGCTTCAATTGTACTATATAGAATGAAATAGCAGGATAGAGTATTCTCTTACTAAGTGTCTCTCTGGAGCTTGTTCAGGATTTATTGGTGTTGCAGACTGAATCCAGTCTAAAATTTTCCATTGGGCAGAATGTTTTATATTAATGTTTGAAGGACTGTCAAAGAAACAATATGTGATAAGATGTTAGGAGATAAAGTACCGGTATTTATGGCTAGTTTGTTACAAGAAAGGAAATAAAAAAGCTAATATGAAGAAATGTAAGGAGAAGAGAGAGGAAAAAGGGAAAGGAAAAGATAATTAAGAACTATAAAGAAGTAAAAAATGAGCTTATGGAAAGTAATGTTGTTATGTAGCTTTTAATTACGGTTACTGTTAAACCGTTTTATTTATGGCTACTGTTGTAAATAGTAGTCCTCTGAACAAATGAGAGCAAAATATAAATACTACTCATTCCATACACTCCATGCTGGTAAGAGAGAACATAATTATTAATATATTTAATTAATATATATTATATACTGCTTGGTTATAGCAAGCTATGTGAATGAAATAATTATGAAGATGTGGAATTTTTATTGGAAGTTTATTTTAAGCAATAGGTGGTTGGACACTTATTAAGGGGATAATTAAGGGGTCAATTAAATATCTGAAGACTTCTAACGTTATTATTCAATGCACTTGATGAGAAATTGCATGCTTTTAGCCCACGGTTTGTGGCATACAATTGATAGATTTCAAAACAGAGAAGAGTGGAAAGAGAAATAATTATTCGTTTAGACGGTTTAAAAAAAAAAACTCAGCATCGTTCCACCTAGGTTGCTTTTCCACCTCTTCAGAAAATGACATTTATAGTCGCTTTTGTGTGTATGCAACGCGCAAACACAAATATACTGACGCTTTCACATAATAGGAGAAGACCACCGTTAAAACGATAGGAATAAGTAAATATTAGGGTTTCTTGGTGCTCTCTGAGCTTGGTTTTCTTGCAATCATTTCACTACCCAAACTGGGTAATGAAACGTCTTGAAGGAGACGACCAAGCTCATATATATATATATATATATAATAATAATAATCTTAAATACGTATAATAATAATCTTAAATACGTAACATCGCAGTAAAAAAAACAACAGTAATTGATATCTCCCCAGGACCCTTCAATCATTCCGATTCCAACACAACAAAAAATAAAACGATGCCCACTCCGCCTTCCAGGGTGGTGACGTCAGCCTCCAAAAAGCCATTCCCAAAGGGAAGAAAGAGCTGTGGGCGGAGCGAAGAAGCCAAAGTAACCCGGATTGGTCTGGATTCTTTTCCTCCGCCTTCAGATTGGATTAACTCCTTCGAAGGCTGTCTTGTTGAGAGTCCGCGTTAAAGCTTTCCTTCCTTTACTGGAGAACGAGTTAAGTAGAATCCCCGCCCATTCGTCAAGGCGCATTTGTTTGCCGTTTGCGCGTGCGCAGTCAACTCCGTCCGAGGCGTGAACCGGGGGGCGGGGAGGGGGGCATTCTTCCGCACGGCGGATGTTCCTGCATCATGAATGGGTGGCCCGGGCTGAGGACGGACTGTGAGGCGTTGCTTACTCGGTTCCAGCAAGCCGAGAGTGTCCGCTTCGAAGATTTCGCCTTGCTCTGGAGGCAGAACCGTTTCGACACCATTTTTTAGTGAGTCACTTTTCCTGTTGCTTGTCACCCCTTCGTGGTTTCAAGTCCCTCGTCCCAGGAGAGAGCGAGAGAGAGAGAGCGGCGATGAGGCGGTCCACTTGCGAGTACTGAGCCTCCACGCCAAGACTTGTGAAAAGTTTATTTTGAACACGGTTGAATTTCTTCTGCCCCCCCCCCCCCGCACTTTTTCACTCCCCCCTTTCCCGCCTTTAAATAGTGAATAAGAGAAATCGTGAAATCTTCCTGCACTTGTTTTATATGGTGTTATCCTAACATTTTAGTTGCACATTCCCTACTCACTGTAGTTAGGGATGAGAAGTGTTGTCAGGATGGAAAAGATGACATCTTTGGAGCAGCCTCCCCCATTCAGATGCATTGGAATGGCAACTTCGAGAACATGATGGAAGTTGGCTTGGCATTCTGGCAGTTTAATCCTCTGCAGTTTATTTTTTTCATATTTCCACATTTTTTCCTTCTATTATAAATCTTGATACAATTGGTTTTTCCAATACAATTATATTTATGTAATTTTAAATTTATTCTATAAATGTTCCAGGTGTTAATGAAATAAGTGAATAATGTTTATAGCAGAACTTGTGCAGATTTGATAGAAAAACAAATGGTATATTTCAATTTTTTCTCCTTGATGTAGATAGTGGATAATTAATTTCTTCTGGAACTAAGACCTTACATTTTGGTTGAGGTTGATATATATTCTATTTTTTATTTTTGTGCTGATCTTTTGTGTAGTGGTAAAATAAGGACTCCAGAGCAAATCAAGTTCACTAAAGAAGCTTTAGCCCTGGTATGGCCCTACTTTTTGCCTCCTTACACTTTCCAGATCCGAGTTGGTGCTCTTTATCTTCTGTATGGTTTGTACAACACACAACTGTGTCAACCAAAAGAAAAGGTAAACTTAAACTGCTTTTAATTCATTGTCCAGTAATCTTGTGTTGTAACTGACGTTCTTTAGTCTTGGGGACTTGAAATTTTATTTTAATATAAAAGGTATGAGCATGAACAGTGACCTAGTGAATACACTAGGTCTGATTTTTTTTGCCTCACAGCTGTCTGTCACATAGCGCTAAAAATGGGTTGCTTTATGGGACTGTGTTAAAGAGTGGCAATATACATGAAACATTGGATAAATTTAAAAAGCAGGATGTAGAAATGTGTACATATAATCTATCATTAATTTAAAAAGTATTCAGACAGTTTAGATTACTGGGATGGAAACCACCAGCAAATCCCTGGGCCATAGGTTAGTGTGTGAGGTTTTTTTAAAAAAAAAAACAAGGCACAGTAAATTACTTCTGTATTGTTGCCAAGAAAATAACATCAGGAGTCAAATTCAATGGATTTTTTTTTCTTTTAATCTGAAGTGTATCATATAACAGTGAAGTCTAGAAATAATTTTTCTATCTCCTACTATTAAATTTATTTTGGGAATTAATTATAAGACCATGTAAACCACCTCTCTCTGCATTCTGAATAAACTAAGCATTCCAGTATGTTGCTTCAACTAATGCTGGGTGATTTAGGTATCTGATTGTCCTGACATCCTTTGTAATATCCATTTAGTTAGTCACATAGGCTGTTTAATTATTTCACACTTTGGGGTATGTGGCTGATCTGTTGGAAGACATTTTTGTTTGTTTTATATTTCAGATTAGGGTTGCACTTAAAGATTGGGCTGAAGTCAGTAAATTCAAGCAGGAACTTTTAGATGCACAGCACTATGATGCAGCATATATCTTCAGGAAACTTCGGATGGACAAAGCATTCTATTTCACAGCAATGCCAAAATTTGTGAGTTATTTGTGAGTTATTAAACCCACATCAACTCATTGTACTCTCTCTATTTTCTGGCTGAATGGGTTGTCGTCTTATCATTCTGTTAACAGAACTTGTGATTGTTTCAGTCTAGTATCCTGCTTCCTATTCTCTGTCCTGCAATATCCAAGCATCATAAGAGAATAGGAGAAATGTGGATTTTCTAACTCAGATCCTGTTTTCATTCTAATACAAATGCTTCTTCCGTTAATACATTAGAAGGGTTGATTTAGAATGCTTCTTGTTTCTACAATGATTGGCTTTTCCCATAATCCTCAGCTACTTGCTGCAAAATTGGACCTAATTGGACTTGGTGGGATCTGCAATAAATCTGCATAGTAAGTCTGCTATGATTCCTTGGATTATATGTAACATTTTTCTTGGCTCCACTTGGTCCCCCCCCCCCCATTAAGAAGTTCTTTGGTTGATGTTGTTCAGAGTTTGTTCAGAGTTACTGCTATTGTGGTATTAATAACGCCTGAAATTACATGCATGCTGGGTGATTCAGATACATGATTTTCCTATTGTTTTGATTCAGCAGATGATTCTGTAGAATTTGCAGATGATACAACAGTGGTGAGACTCATCTCGGGGGGTAGTCTGCCTATCAGGATGAGGTGGACGGGTTGCTTTCATGGTGTGGAGAAAATAACTTGGTCCTTAACGCCAATAAGACCAAGGAATTTATAGTGGACTACTGAAGGAATAGATCAGACATCCAGCCCTTGGTTATCAATGGAGACCGAGTGGAGCAAGTGGCCAATTTTAAGTTTCTGGGTGTTATAAAAGAGATCTGACCTGGGGTGCTCACAGTACTGGTCAAAAAGGCCCAGCAGAGATTATATTACCTGAGGCTTCTCAGGAAACAACTGAATGAAAAACTGGTGGTGATCTTCTACCGCTGTACCATAGAGAGTATTTTAACTTACTGCACGTCTGTATAGTTTGCCAATTGCAGATAGGACAGCACTCCAGAGGGTTAACATCATTGCCCAGAGGATCATTGGTTGCCCTCTCCCCTCTTTGGAAGAGCTTTATAGCTCCCGCTGCCTTAAGAAAGTTCAAAACTTCTCAAAGATCCATCTCATCCTGGGCACCCTGTTTTTGAACTATTACCATCTAGTAGATGGTACAAGACAATAAAAACAAGGACAAATAGGCTGAAGAACAGCTTCTATCCCAGAGTAGTAACTATATTGAATTCTACTGTATAGTGCAATATTAATGCAATATCAGGGATTTTCAAGTCAATTGCATAGAATGTGAAGGATGTGTGTTTTTGTTTTATATTTTAGAGTTTTCTTATGAATATTGTACACCGAAGATGGCATTTAATTTCATTGTATGAGGTGCAATGACAACAAAGAACTACTACCACTACTAACATAACTCTTTCTTTCTTAGCTTTCATTTAGGACTAAAAAGAACATGCATGCAAATACTGAGATGAAGAGGGAATTCAGAGATCCTACTGATCGTGTTGCCATGCTTTGCCATGAAAATTTCTTGGAGGTATACTGACACCTTGTTCCAACATGATTATGTTTGGCTTATGTCCTATACACTGTAACAATGTTATCAATAAACAATTTTACAGAGAAATAGATATAACATTTTTTTTTAAAAAAATTATAATCCAAATATCTTTCTGTAAACGTAATCCATACTTTGTATGTATTATATCCGGTGCTTGAATCTCAAGTTGTTTGCTGAAATCCAGACCAAGGCCATTTTCACATACTACCCAAAATAGAAGTACAACTGAATTTTGAGAGATCCCCAACTCCATCTGACACCCCCCCCCCCCCGAATTCCTTTGAAAAGTTAAAGAACATAGAAACAAAGGAAATATCTGATAAGTTTTATATAAAAATATATTACAATCTCTTTTAATTTATAAAGGCATATTCATAACTTGCACCTTCTGGTTAGCAAGTTTTTTCTAACAATTTTATGATCTGACACAGATCCAAAACTTTTAACTTAGTCTTACCAACATATATTTGTAATATGAGTGCAGAACTGACCATGTTTTCTGTTTGGATGGAACAACGAGCAGGATGTACAGCAAAATATGACAACGATCTCAATTTTTACTGATGAGTTATTAAGAAATTTTCTTTTTTATCTGCTTCACTTATAAGGAAACAAAAAATATTCATGAGCACTACAAAAGAATGAAATGTCTGATCTCTATGGATCAAAGTCAGCCGGATAAGGCTATCAGTTTGATTAAAGATGACTTCGCAGCCAAGTTCCAAGATATCATTCTGGATTATCAGCAGTGGCAGAAAAAGAAAATGGTATATCATTTCATTTTTCTTTAGAAATTGGTATATAAATGCTATAAGCTAATGGTTTTCACTACATAATATTAGAAACATAATGTCACAACAAAATTCTGGCACCAATCTAATCACTTTGTATAAGCTACTTATTTTTATAACCTTTATATTAAGCTTCAACAGTCCTGTGGGGGAAAAAAATTATCTTCAAGGTCTTTCTGAAATATTTTGAGATAAATGCAACTCAAAACTGTTAATATTTAAAGACTTATTACAAAAACGTGTTGAGAGAGGCAGACATAATCTTGCTTCTTGAGGTAAGAAATTCCTGGTGGATGATGTTGGAACTAGTTTTCCATTTAAATGGAGTAGCAGTTCAGCAGCTTTCTATGCACATGCATGTGTCTGTCCTGTTGTGATATTGCTTGGAAAAGAAAGTCACCTTTCATCTGTTTGATGATTTGAATGTCCAAATCCGATACGTATCTAATGCATTCTGGGATCTAAATAATATCTGTATTTTTTCAGGAATCCCCCTTATCTACTGTGGGTGACGAAATGAGGAACAGAAAAGAAGGTTGTTCCCAAGAGTCTGAAGTAAGGAAATCATCATCATCACGGTGGAATATTTAATTTCTTTATAGGAATTCCTAGTAGGATATAATTTACCGTAAAAGTCCCTTGCAATCATTTCTAATTCAGCTCTGTAGTACAAAACCAAGAAGACAAGGTGTCAGGGAGGGTGGGGTAGGGATGGATTATCTCTGGATAACTATCCTTATTGTACTCAAAAGCTGAGTAGGTATTTGAAACAGTAATTTATTTACAAAGAAAAATGATACATATCTAGCATTCATTTAAAGGTTTTTTGTGTTAAAACATTAGAAGTCACAAAGTAAAAAAAGGTAGTGCAAACTCTATTGGCAATCTTCTCTTTTCAGGGATCTGACAGAGCTAAAACGTTAGCTGAAATCAAATCCAGATCATATTCTGCAGTTGCTCATGTAAGTATGTAAAGGCTGTGCCTTTGACTCCCAGTGACTCCCTAGAGAAATCCCCATAGTTTCTTCACAAGGTTTTGGGAAGTGGTTTGCCATTGCTTTCTTCCTATAGCCAGGAGAAAGTGATTGGCCTAAGGTAACCCCATTGTCTCTGGGAATAAGACAGAATTAGAATACATAGTGTCCCACTTTCTAGCTTTATGTTTTTAACCACTACACCACACTGACTCTCTTAAAGGCCATAATTATTTGAACATAATTGCTGAACTTCATTTCGGTGTGTCTGTAAGAAAAGCAATTTGAAACAGTTAGACAAATTAAATTAGTGCTAAACAAGATGTCCTGTTGACAAGTAGAAATCTGCTTATGTAACATTGGATGTAACCCTTAACATGCTTTCCTAGTATGTAAACATAAAGTTGGTAACATACAATTTCTTTTAGCAGCTTAATCCTGACTTAATGATTGCCGTGACTTACACTCGTAATTCCAGGCTCAATTACACTCGTATATTGAGGACTGCCTGTAGCCATGGACAGAAGAGGCAATAAACCATTTCAATCCATGATTTTATTTAAGAAATTTATATGGCTGCCCAATTCACTATAAGAAACTACAGGTGGTTTACAAAGATGAAAATCCAATATAAGAATAATAAAAATCTATCCCTTCCACAACAACAATCAGTCAATCAAACAAGCCACTTGGTGGGTTCCATCCTACTCTGGGGTTCAGGCCCATTGGCAAAGTCTTTAGAGCCATGCAAAAGAGTATCAAAATGAGAGCCAATCTTATTTCCATGGGATGATGTTCCACAGGGAAGGAGCCTTCTTCTTGGTCCTGTTACATGAACCTGCTTAGGAAAGATGATCCATAGTATTTTCTGCCTCTCCATTCTAGTGGGTTGGGTAGAAGTTTCCTTTATGAAATTGCATCTTCTTCTCCCCGGCCCCATCTGTCCTGGAAGCAGTACCATAACAATATATAAGCTTGTATGCCCAATTGCAGATAGTAGAGCCTAATAGTTAATAGAACGGATTTTTCCCCATAAGTGCACTTTTAAACCTATGCCATATGACTTGGTTTTGGATTTAATTTGTGTTGTAAATATGCTCTTGATGAATATGACATATGATCAGTTTACAAATACAGTAGCAGAATTAATTTGATAAATACATTGGATTATCATCTTTCAGAGCAATATTATTGTGTATTCATTGCTTGGATATTTTTCTTGTTGCACTTTCTTTGCCTGAAAATCCATTTAGGCTACAAAGTCCTGGCGACATCGCCAGGTTAAGCTGGAATCTTCTGAATTGGGATCAAATCGTGGGAAAACCAGATTGCCTAAGGATAGAAGGATCAGGAAATGTTTACCAACACCAAAGAAGTCAGAACGTCTGCAAAAGAGAGGTAATTTAGCAAAGTAGGATTAATCTGGGGAAGTTGCTGTTTCTACAATGCCCCTGGTGTATAGGCCTTCTAATTAGTGTGCATTGTGAGCATTGTGAATGCTGTAACATAACACAAGAGATATAAATATTTGATAATAAAGGGGGGGTGATAAATCAGTAAAAATAGATATGTGTCCTTCCTGAGCCTTTCATTGTGCTTGCCACTTTTAAATGTATTATTCATGAATGTCCTTCCTTGTCTTATAAAGTAATCTGCCTGTAGTTCTCTCTCTGTGTGTGTTTGTATGTTATTTCATAACTGATGAAAATGTCTGATGAAAGAAAATGAGTTCATCCGTAAATCATTATTTGTAGCAGTGTCCTGTCTAGTGGGAAGAATTTAATCCAATTTAATTTTAAATTCCAAATTGACAATACAGAGGGGAATACTCCTTCAAGTAATCAGGTTCTAACATTTAAATATATGAGTTGGCTCTGTGACAATTAGGCATACTGTAGATCTTCAAAGTTCTGACAACTTCACAATTGAATTTTGTTCCATCCACAATTCCCAAATTGTCTTTTAGGAAATCCCATGTAAAATGGATTACAGGTAGTCCTTAATTAGGTAGTCCTGAGTTAGGGCTATAATTGAGCTTGGCAATTATGGTTGTAAGTCATGATGGCTATAAAGCAGGTGACTGTGTCACCAGACCCATTTTATGACCTTTTTTGTAGCAGTTGTTAATTGAATTTTTTTCCCATGAGTTTTTTTTTTTTTTTGCCAGAAATGGGTAGTAAATGCCAGTTTCTTGCAAAACTGTTATGTGACTGCAGAGTATGGCAAATGTCTGCAAATGCAGACTGGTTGATGAATATGCAAAATGTGGTCACATGACAACAGGAGCAATTGACATCAGAATTTTGAAAATGGATCATAAGTCCCTTTCGAGGGGGTTTCAGGATTTAGGGGTGAACAGTCACCCATTGTAAGTCAAGGACTACCTGTTTCAGTGCAGTCTATAAAGTATTACAGGGGGGCTCTTCGTTAGGGGAAATTTTTCTTGTTTTATTTTTTTGGGGAAGTAATGGCTGGTTAAGCTACTAACCCAGGTTTAGAAGATACATTGAATCTATATAAGCTACTCAACAACAATTTATAGACATGAATTATGATCCTTTGTAACTACAGTTGAATCTATGATACGGATTCGGATTACACAGTAAACCAAGCCAGTTAGTGTGTTGTGCAAACTCAATATCACAATATTTTTGCCATGAGCTTTTAGATTCTTGTGGGCATATGGGAAGGAAATTGTGGATATTTGCATGCTGGTATATCTGTCATTTATGTATTTTTGTATGCAATGTTATGAGATAAGCCAAAATAATCCTTCTGATTCAACTGCTGATCTTCAAAAGTTAACTAAAGGCATAGATTGCATGTTGCTTTTGTAGAAGTTTACAGCTATGAGGATCTATTAGAAAAACAAGTTCTGTAACAGGATGGCTGTCAAAAATTTATCCTGCCTGTGAAAGTTGTCTATTCTAGAAGGCCTTTCAGATCTGAGTATTACAGAGTTCTTAGAAATATTACAACTATTTTTACAATTAATTGTAATCATCCGTAATAGTTATTGTATTTTGATACTATTACAGTAGCTGTTGCTTTTGTAGTTGCATAGAGTTGCTAACTGAAGTTAAAAAGACATAAATACACATTATCTTTCAAAAGGAGCAAAAATTCCAAGCACCCTTGCTGGAATACACCCTAACCATTTGATGCAGCGTTTGGAAATTTGGAAGGCTGAATTATGGTTCCAAATCCCTCAAATGCTGCTTGTTCCAATGTAAGGGTATCCTATAAGATTGGCTGTCAAAGATATAATGTAATTTCAGTAAAGCTGAAATGAAAATTTCTCTTTAATTTTGTGCTTTTTGCAGGAACTTTACTACCAACAGCACAGGAAAATATTAAGAGACTGAATATGCCCGTGATTGGAGATGATGATGATGAAGAAGAAGATGATCACTCAAGTGATGAGGGTATGTTGTGGTACACTTCTGCACAATAGCTCTGACAAAAAAAGGAAAGTGCAAAAATCACCATTCTTAGCTATCTCTGACACAAGCAGGTACATGAGTAGTCCTACTTAGGTACCACTTCTCTCTTCCATTTGAGAAGTTTCCCTTTAGAACATTGCACTGGAGAAAAACATTCACCCTTTTCATATATAGGTAATGTAATTCCTCAGTTATTCAACAACTCAATTTTTCAACAAGCTGTTCTAGACCAAGCTATATCCAAAAACACGAGGTAATTCCTGGATATATGGCATTCAGACAAATGAGCCATCAACAGGAAACAGCCGGCGGTCCCCAACTTTTTGATTGCCAGGGACTGTTCTGTGGAAGGCAGTTTTCCACAGCTCGGGGAGGGTGTTTTTTTGCACATGTGCAGATGGAGCTTTGCTTGCTTCCTTGCGTGGCCTGGTTCCTGGTGGGCTTCAGCCCAATGTCGGTCTGTGGCTCAGGGCTTGGGAACCCCTGAGACAGGCAATATTTATACACCATTCAAAAGAGCTTATGAAAGAACAAAAAGAGTAGAACACCTACTTGTCAGCATTCAACATTCAGATAAACAGGACCTTGTTGCAGACTAACACCAAACAATGAAACAGTAAAGAATACCCTGTTCAAGGAACTATCAAAGCAAAAACAACATTGACACTGACAGGTACTGTATGTAAACAGACAGCAAACTTCACTCCCTCCTAGCACTGAAGATGTTAGCAATTTAAATGTTTGCAGCAAGCAAACAACCAAGCTTAGAGAGCACCAAGGGCTACATTCTTCCTCCTTCTAAGATTCAATCTTCAATTAGCTATTAGCAATGCTTGTTATGCGCTGCCTTTAAGATCATCACAGCATGCATAGCACATAGCTGACCTAGACAGATCACAGAAAGCTAAGCAAGGTCAGATCTGGTTAATTTCTAGAGAGAAACCATAAAGAAATATCATTGTTTCCCGGAAAAATGGAAGATTTGGAGTCTTTGTTATTTTATTTCAAAGAACCCCATATACTTCTGAATAAGGTTGTTACAGAATTGCTAGGGTGTACAGGTAATTTTTGATTGCATTGATTCAGAATGAAATAAATTTACTAATGCATGTGAAATGCATTGAGAAAAATCAGTATTTTATGTTGATTGAAAATAGTTGTCATTGGTCAATTTAAAAAACCTGTTAAGAAAATAGAATTTGAATATAGACTTCTTTTTGTTCATACCTATAAGCTAGAATGATTTATTTCTTCTGTTTCCATTCCAGATTTCATACCTACCAAGAGGAAAAAGGCTCATTAAGAATGCATCTTAAGGGAAATGGTGATACATAAATCATCTGTGTGAATAAGCCATATTTTCCAGCCAGGGATGAAGCAGTCTGAGTGACCCAATGCTATGTTGTGAACTGGACACTTGTTAAGAAAGCATAGAAGCAGAAAAGACATGCTATAAATTCTGACAAGCATTACATATGATTTACTTCATATATTATAATGGATTCTTTATTCATACTTAAAATAGATTTTGGTAAAAGCTGGTTTCATTTTTTATACAGTATTTAGCTACATTAATTATATGAAAGAGAAACTCTTGTTCTGGACAGTAACAGATCTGTAAATACATTGCATATGTATATTTCAGCTTTTTATGTATTTATATAATTCCTGCTTCCATTGGTTTATTTGTAATTGTAAGTTATTGTTAGAAGAACCTAGAATGAAATAACATTCTGAAGAATCGGAAGATTTAACATTTTTGCACTGTTCAAGGTTATGCTTCTTTTTCTACAAAACTTTGGGGAATGAACTATTACGAGATTGAAAGATCCTTATGTGATACTAGATTTGTCACAAAGGAATGTCACAAAGGAGAAGATAGAAAACCAAATGCTTCCCAGGCTTAAACTTAAGGGATGAAATTTGCAGGCAGGCTGAAATGTGATGTATTCTAAGAAGTTGAAAGAAACCGTGTTTTTTTGTCCTGGCTTGTGTTTCGATATTGTTTTAAAAACAGTAGTAAAAGACAATACAAACTAAACTCAGAAATTAAAAATAATAAGGAATAAAAGTGTAAAGAAAAAGAAATAAATAAAACTATTTAAAGAAGACATTTCTGATCTTCCTAACAGCCTGTAAAAGCAAATGTAATTCTTCACTCCCATAAAGTTACATGCAAGCATCTCTTCTTCCCATAACCCATCCCTTATGCATGCGCAAATTCATAAATCATTAACATTTCATTCAGTCTTGATGCCAGCAAAAAGATCCATAATTATTTTTTTTTAATGTAGAAACATCTTGTTTTAACCTTAAACAAATAAACTTTAGTCTTTCCTTTTGCTACTAATCACTTTAGTCTTTATTTCATTGTAGGATTGTTGGAATATTTGATCTCTCTTCAAATTTTCTTTTTCCCATCTCAAAGAATTCTTCAGGGCTTTAGATCTTCTAGGGTATTCTCTTTTCACATCTGTCATTTGTTCTTTAACATCTTTTAAAAATTATCTATAGAAGCAGATGGCATTGCTGACATTGTAGCTGCTATTTTTTGACTCCATATGTCAAAGATTCCTAAAACGTTTCATGTCATTATTTTCTGTTATTTTGTTTCAATGTTGACCAAAACAAAAAGCAAACCTTTCTCTCTCCTTTTTCCTTTTCTTCCTGGAATCTCTAAGCCCTCTAGTGTCCAATTTCCAAAATTATAAAAGTGTGGAATTTCTTATGATTTAAAATAGACTAATTTAGTTCCTCTGATGTAAGGCATCCAGAAAGTATCCATGATATCAATCACTCTAAGACATCTCTCTCCAAGGTTGAATTTATTAGAAACAGTTCTGGCATGTCAAAGGCAATTTCCCAAGTGAAATTATTTTCATGTCTTACACAGAATCCACCTTCTTCCTTCTCTCCTCCCACTTCTACACTTCCTAAATCAGGAGCACCAATTAACTGCCACTGGAATTACTTAATACCACATACAGAATAACCTTGAACTTTTCAACTCCTCAACTCTCTAAAAGGAAAAAAAATTGTGGCAGCTGAATTTTAAAGCTGACACCTGAAGATACTATTTACTGGTAATTATTTTCAAAATCTTATAGCAAAAATTCTAATATTCCAAATTTGCCCGATGACAAGACCCACTTGTAGAGACAAGAAGGTCTGGGAAAATTGGGAAAAAAGAGTTTTTTCCAAACATCTTTGGAAAAAAAAAGACCCCCTTTTTTCTCCCAATTTTTCTGTTTTCCAATCCTTCCCATCTCTACCCACAGGTGAAGAATTCAAATTACTAGTTTATTGTTCCATGCCCATTTCATAGCAATTTTTCCAGACTGGTAGTTTGCCCCTGGGAAAGACTACTGTAGGTAAGGTTCAATGGTATTTAAGTGGGGTGGTGTCAGACCTTGCCTTCTTGTATCTTGGTGATGATTGCCTGTTTGATCCCTCCTTCTGATTGACACAGTCTCTGACACAGTCCTTTGTTTTGCTTATACATTTGTGTTAAAAGTCTTTATTTGACTTTTTGTTGTTTATTTCAAAACTTTAAATTCTTAAGCTTATAGCTTTCTCAGAAATACAGGCATTTCTGCTTTTATGGCCTAAAGCAGAACGATAAAGAATTCTGACTTTGAGCATGCAGCTATTGAATATGCCTAACAAACCTGGACACCTCCATCCATGTTTATGTTTATCATAGTTAACCACAAACTGGTTACATGATTCGTTGCTTTATCATCATGGTAAGCTCTATGTCAAGGGTCTTCAAATTTGACAGCTTTAAGACTTGTGGACTAACATGACTGGAGCTAACATGACTGGAGGAGGAATTCTGGGAGTTGAAGTCCACAAGTCTTAAAGCTGTCAAGTTTGAAGACTTGTACTCTATGTACTCAATCTTTTTTTTAAAGATCACTCAGAAACTGCAGTTGGTGCAAAATGCATGTTTGTTGCTAATTGATATTATCTTAAGACAAAGGCTTTATGTGGAAGGAAGCTTTATTAATAGGTTTTCAGCTGAAATTGAAAGTGATATTTTTAGCTTTTAAAGCTGGGTTAAGGTGCCTGCGAAGACTATCCATTCTAATCAGAGTTGAGATGTCTGATGATGGCTTGCAGGAGAAATCACTGCTGTCATGGGCCAAGATTATGATTCAGACACTGACAATGTTGCTTCAGCTGAGACATCCAAGTCTGGATGCATTCAGCAGTGAGCAAAGCAATGCCAGTCAATGAGGCTTCTCACTAAGCAAAGGCTGAGGCCTGAGTAATTGCAGCCAGTCTCTATTGGAAACAACAGTTCAGAATAATAGTTTGGGATTCTTGGACCTACCGACTACTTGATTGGCTTTCTGTGACTTTGGATTGTGCTATTATTCTTGGACTTTATCAGCATTTTTTTCAGGCAAGCACACTCCACTACGACATTTAAATTACCTCATGTGGTGGTCGTGTACAGAATCTAAAAGATATTGGCTGAGAATAAAAAAATGGAGGAAATTACGACTGAGCAGATTGAACTTAAACCAGAATTCTTCCTATTAGGGATTCTCAACAGATAATTCCCCCCAAAAGATAAATATATAATACTACATATATTGATGGCAGCTAGATTGGCCTTCGCACAATGCTGGAAACAACCCTATACTCCACCAGAGGAAATAATTATTCAGAAAATATCAAGCTGTGCAGAAATGGATAAACTAACTCTAGCACTAAAAAATAAGTACTATATGAGTACTATATGAGTTGGAACTGTTGGTATGAGTGGATAGACTGAAGATAGACCATATAATAATAATAATAAATTGTAAATGAGGAGTGACAATAGTAGTAATTAGATATTTGCACTAAAGATTAATTGCAAATATGGCACAAAATAATGAGATAAACCATAAAACTGTTGATTTAATCATTTTTAATCATTTACCCTTTTTTCTTTGTTGTTTTTCTTTCCCAATCTGTGTTGTTTGTATATTTTAACTGTAAAATTTAATAAAGTTTATTTATAAATTATATTTCTTCCTACTGTTATCTGCTTCAGCTTCTGAGTACGGTGTCTACGTGTGTATTCCTGCAACCTTGAAGCAGTACAGCTGCCAACGTTGTCCCAGTTGGGTAAAATGAAGCCAGAAAGAGTAACTTGGATCTCTTTGCTCTTTTGGGATTCTATAATTCAGCAGCTGGTGATAGCTGAACTGTTCTAAAGAGTGCCTTTGAGATATGAATGGCCAACTTTTGCATTTCTATTTTGAACTATAGTTTTGACCTTTGCTTTTTATTTGTTAGTTTTTTCTTCTTGTGATGCTATTGGAGTTGTAATATTTTTTCCACAATGACAAGACATTTTATTGCATTTGGTTTTTTTACTATGGATGTTTTATTGCATTTTTATCTTATTATAAACTGCTGAAAGTTTGTTTCAGTGGCATACACATTGCAATAATAAAAACAACTATCTGCTTTTGGCAATAGCAGCTACTAGAATCAGTGCTTGGTTTTTTTAAAGCAATTCTGGTAAGTCAGAAATTAATATGAACATCTCTGTTGCTGTAGGAGCAGGTCAGATATCACAGGGAGGTCATAAGCCTGATATTGCAATCTTCCTTTGGCAAGAAGAGATGTAAACTAATCTGGCCCTATTTCTGTGTGGAAAACACAGCCTCTGCAGCATAGGATGGGTTTTGTTCAGTGTGTAACTTCCCTTTTGTCAGCCTTCTCAACCTGACATTCTCTGGACCAGTTGAGACTCTCAAGTCCCAGAATATCTAGGATTTATGATCTTACTGGAGCAGGTCCCAACCAACCTTGAAAGTTGCTGTATTTATAAGGATTGAGGATGCTATTCACATCCCTATTAAATGGGCCAATAGTTTAAAAGCTCTCATTACCAAGAAAATAATTTTAAATATAATTTATAGAATATTTATCTGGTTGAAGGAAGGCACCAGCACCATTTAACAGGTTTGGAGTTGGAGAAGAAATCAATGCAAAGTTCTTGATTGTTGCAAATCCTCTTGATAAGAATGAAGCTAATCATTTTGTATGGATCAGTTTTGCACCATATTAAATAAAATGTAGAGCCAGTTTAGTGTATCAGTTAAGGCATCAGGCTAGAAATCAGGTGCCTGGGCTCTAGTCTCGTCTGGTCTGTTTAGGCATGAAGTCAGCTGAGTTGAGGTTGGACCCAGTCACTTTCTCTCAGCCCTGGATTCTGAAAATCTTGCTAGGAAAACTGTCCAGGCAGTCTCTTAAGAACTGGACATGACTGAAGAGGGGGAAAAACTGAATAGGAAACGTGTGTGTGTGTGTGTGGGGGGGGGCTGATAATATAAATCGATCCAAGCAATTGTTTTCCTGTAAGGCTAGATTTTTCTATAGAATTTTCATTCATTCTTTGCGCATTTATTGCAAACATTCCAGGAAACCTTCCCGATGACTGCGAGGCGGAGGGCCAGCAACAGCCACTTAAGGAGGGGCGTCGGTACCTTCCAGCCTTCCGATTCCACCCGGGTCTTTGAGCCGGAGGGAGAGGAGGGACTCCGGAGCACGTGCCGAGCCTCCTGCAGAAGCCCGGCGCTTCCGCAGGCCGCCCCTCCGGCACGCGCCTGCCGAGGTACAGAGTCCCGGCTAGCGCGTGCGTAAAATCCACTCCCTCCCTCCCCTCCCCTCCCCTTCTTTTCCTGGAGGGAAGGGAGCGAAGTAAGGGATTAAAAAGGATGCACCTCCTTCCCGATTAATGGAAAAGTGGCTGCTACTGCGGCGGCGAGCTGGGAAAGCAGGTGGCTGAGAAGCGATTGTCGCCTCCCCTCCGCAGGTCCTCGGTTGGAAAAGTGGGTCTCCTTCAACCACAGTAAGCAGCGATGGCGACCGATAGTAAGTGCCCTTCTTGCGGGATTCTCCACTCTGCGCTTGGGGTGTGTGTGTGTGTGTTTCCTACCTCCTTTGCTTTGGCGGGAGTTTTATGCCTGCCCCCCCCCACCCCCAATTCCCTCCGGTCCCTTTTTGCTATCCGTTCTGCATTTTTGCAATTCAGCTGGAGATTTCAAATCCCAGCAGGCTGATATTTTTGGAGCCTCTTTTTGGAGAAGGTGTTCGTGTGTGTGTGTCTGTCTGTGGATCCTCTCCTGCTCTTTGTCCTCACCTGTCCCCTCCCCATTTCCCCCTCTCTGCATTTAGCTGCTGCATCCTGAGTTTTTCTTTCCAGATCCCTCAATCGGTCTTCAAATTGTAGTCAGGTCTTAAAGTTGTATGTAATTTGGGTCCCTTACGCACCATCCTGCCTTGTTCCCTGGAGTAGTTGTAGATTGCTCTCTGGCATAAGAGACAATGGAAGATTTATTTGGGCCACCCGAGTTTTGATCTGAGGCCCTGGACTGGGCAGCTCTGTTTTAATCTAAGGCGGTGTCGATTTGATTATGTTATCACCATCATCTGCTAGCAAAGGGCTGGGCAACATTCTAACCTAGTTAAGCCTGAACTCAGAATTGAGTGTGATTGCTGTTGCAGAATACAAGTGTGGCTTTCTAAATGTTGCACAGCAATACCAGACATCGGAGCCATAGTCTTAGGTGCTGATTGAAAAGCCAGCAATGAACAGTCAGATGCCATCATTCCTGGAAAGCTGCTTGTTTTCGTTTTGATCTCTGCAGTGGCAAAGGTTCACTTTCAAGTATACTGCAGGACATGAAGGAGGCCTTTTGCAAAAAGCATCTTTCTTGGCTATAAGGAAATGGAGGAAGGGGACGGCCCAGGAAAGGAGCATCCTCCTCTGTTAATTTCACAAGGAACTTAATTCCCCTAAAACTGATACAATATCACCTTCTAGTGAAGGTGAAATAAATGAACAACTTGAGTTATGGTTTGAGACTCTTCAAGAAAAGGCACAGTATGTAAAGCAGCTTTCACCAAATTTGATAATCTCCCATAATCTGACTGGGGATTGTGAGAATTAAAGACAATCCCCATTCAATTAATTAAACACATTGAAATCATATGGGGCTGTTTAGACAGCTGCATTCATTGCTGTTTGTTGAAGGCCTCCTTTAAGGTATTGATATAAACTTTAAGACTCAAATGGATTAGGGCAGAAGTATCTTGTTCTGAATCTGCATATTTAGATCTGCAAGAGTGGGCCCTACAAAGATTTCTGTGGTTTGTGATGGGCAAGGTTGCTTTTGTTCCTTCTGCCTTTAGAAAAAAAATATTTCAGACACATATCTTCATAACTAAAAACAAACCTTTTGTTTTTGATGAATTGTCTATTTACATGTTAGATGTTTTATTTTTCTTTTGAATGTTATGAGTTTCTTTCATGCTATAAGTTGCTTTTCCTGTCCTACTGGAGCAGGAAGTTGTAATATCACATAACTTGGGTGCTGAACTTTTTAGGATGGCAGGTTTTTTTATTACATATACAGACTAACATAAATATTAATAGTATTTAATATAAAAAACTTTATGTTGTCCATATTTTAAGAGAAAAGATAGAAGTATATGTTGTTTGCATTAAAATTCTTTCTAGATTTATATATCTTTGTACATTGATTCTTAATATTTCTGAATACATGGTAGGAATTTGTCAAACAAACATTGGCAGAAAAATTTAGGTAATAGCTAAAAAACATGTCAGGCTAGGGAATTTCTCTGAATGCAGATTATTATTATTATGGTTCATTGCACATAGTCTGCCAGAAGTTCAGGCTTGATTTGGCATTTTTGCCTACCTTTCAAGTCCTTTCCAAGATTGTTGTTGTCTTATTGTTAATAGTAGTAGTAATAGTATTTAATTTATGAGAAAGTTATAATAAAAGTATCATCCGTGCCTTTTAGGAGGACGTTCTA